ACAGCCTTTTGCCAAACTAATTAATATCTTGGATATTTTTAAAGATCTCATCCTTCTGTAGTATTGACTGCACCACCATCTTGCAACTCATGAAATTCCTAGTCTGCAGTCCATCTACACCCTTGATGCTGCTATCTCGAAGGTCCAAGTCTCTTTAGATGAGCATTTTTCTAAGATGGCTGCTGAGACTGATCCTCATAAGTCATCGAGATCACCAAGAACCTGCTTCCAGCCACCTACAACTCATTGACACTATGCATCATGCACTAGGTATGAGAGATTATCATAAGTGGGATTTTGCTTTCTTAATTGGAAAGCTGGCAAAACTGGTCTGATTTCTCAAATGACAGTAAAGCCTGGAGCTGAGAGATGGCTTCCCCTTGTGGGCAGTTGTCACTTGACCTCTCACGCTTATTTATCTGGGCCTTTAGGGAACTCAACTGTTCAGCTCCTGTTCTGTGGGGTTTTTATGCTGAAAGGGCCTGGATCTTTGTAAAACTTAATTAATGCCTTGCAGTAGAGACAGGGCTATTGCTTGAGGCAAATTTCGAACAAATATGAGTGATAAACATAAATAATAATATGAATGCCTGCTGTGTGCCAGGTACTTTCTAGGTGCTAAGGTTATAGCAATAGCCAAAGCAGACCAAATCATGCCCTCCGGATTGTAAGCTCCAGTGTGGTCTATTAAGCCAGTGCTTTCTGTACTGAACTGTTATGTTCTTGGGCAATAAGTTTTGGGAAATGTTGGGGTAAATCAAATAGTTTTTTGTTGTTCATTTAAAAACATAGTACTTCTCAGAGCTTGTACATTGCCAGTCTTCTGAGGTGGGGAAGGGAGATGGATGTGTAGTATTCACTGTTTTCCAAATTTCTCATAGAATTATATTTTGGGAGCAATTTCAGAGGATGGAATATTCTTTGGGAACAAATTACCCATTGGAATTCTTATGAAACCAGGAGAGGACAGATAATATCTGTTATATTTAATGGAATAGGAAACTGAGATATGTTTTTTCAACTAGTCTAGGCTTCGTTTCTCCTAGATGGGATTAGATTCCTATAGTGTCACCTATCCCCCTATTTTTTTTTCCCTCAGAGCCTATTTGCTACAGAACTTTAATGAAGAGGGAACAACTGATAAACCCTTCCAAGGAAGAAACTGCAGGGCTTTGCTGCTGTTTTGGCTATTGGCTCTAGTAGGTGCAAGGCAAACACTCTGGGTAAGCAAATGGATGTGATTTGAATAATACTAATTACTACTGCTAGTATTGCTACTTCTCCCTCTCTGCCTGTGATTGATATTTACCATTATCAAAGCTTTCTGTATGTCAAACATTTACATAGGTTTATTTGTTTGACTTCATAATAACTCTATGAAGTAGTGTTATGATCCCTTTTTTACTATTAGGGAATTGAGTTTTAGAGAGGTTACTTGTTCAAAATCCTACATCGTGCAATTGATGGAGCTGGGATCTAAACCAGGTTCGGTTGGTTCTAAAGCATTAGCTATTTTGCCTTCAGCATGGATCTTTGTTCTTTCATTTATAGAGAGGAAGACTAGCAAGCTGCTATGTTGGTGCTTGGAAAAATATCTTGGTTAGGAATGATCTGGCAGAAATTTAGGACAGAAAATCAAAGGCCCTCAGCAGGATTGGAGTTAAATGTAGTAGTTACCCTTTAAAATTTATAGTCATTTGTATTTCCTTAATTTTATACTTTAACACATTGATGCCACACTAAGAAAAAATTTTTTCCTTGGGGCCATGGTGTTTTATTACAAAAATAGAATGATCCTTTCTCATTTAATGAAAAATTTCTTATTTTGTATTGTTTTTGTGCATGAGTTATATGCATCTTGAAAAAAGTTCATATGGCTCCCAAGGTGAAGAGACGTGTGAGTTACATGTGCTTATGAACCCCAGCTCAAAACTAGCTGAGTTAATATAGCTCAGATGGCAGTTAATGTGTTAAATACTCATTTAATATTCAGATAGTCTCCAACTTAGTACCGCCTCATTGAATGCTGTCTTAATGTGCATTATGATCCCTGCCCTGAAGATTTGCTTATGAGAAAAAGATCAAAGTGCTACCTATCCATAGAAGGGAGCAGATGTTAATGGTGATTTTAGCCTGACTTGCAGTAACTCAACCTCACTTTGCATCTATTTTCAGTTGTCTTCTTACTTGCAAGATTAGAAAGTGAATATTGGGAAATGAAAACCTTACAATTGAGATTGTTAGCTATTAAGCAATTAGCTGTTCTTGGACATAGTACTGCTATTGAAATATCCATCTAAGCTATCTTAGTAATTATTTTGACAGCCCCAGCTGTAGTGTTTCTTTATGCATTTGCAACTTGGCTTTTAAAATGCTCCATTGTTCCTTCTTTCTTGTGATGATTCCTTGTCCTTTCTGTCGCCTCCAGGTCCGACACTGTTCAGAATTTGCCATCATCGGTGCAGGCTGTTGTGTAGCTTGGAACAACATCAATCCAATGATTCCAACATTGGATCCTGGGTGAGTCCCTTGTCTGTTCCAAGAGGTAGAAATGCTTGAGTGCAAGCCTTCTGTGTTCTATTCTTTTTTTTTTTTTTTTTAATTTTTTTGAGACAGAGTCTACTTTGTTGCCAGGCTAGAGTGAATGCGTGGCGACAGCCTAGCTCACAGCAACCTCAATCTCCTGGGCTCAAGTGATCCTCCTGCCTCAGCTCCCAAGTAGCTGAGACTACAGGCATGGCCACCATCCCGGCTAATTTTTTGTATATATATTTTTAGTTGGTCAATTAATTCTTCTATTTTTAGTAGAGACGGAGTCTCGCTCAAGGTGGTTTCAAACTCCTGACCTCGAGCAATCCGCCGCCTCAGCCTCCCAGATGCTAGATTTCAGCGTGAGCCACACGCCCGCCTGTTTCTATTCTTAAGTCAAAAAATTAGGATTAACTTTACCAGAGATCTTTATATACTAATCGTATTGTCTGGTGCTGAATCAATAAACAATGCATTTGATTACTCAGGTGGTTCTCATATGGTCCTTCGCTTAGAAGTCTGTATTACCAGAGGAAACACTTTCTTTATTCCTCTGAGCCTAGTTTCTTCACCTGTTAATATTGGATGTGATGATTAAATGTATTAAATGTAAAGTGCCTAGCACATTATCTGGAATGTGAATTCTCAGTACAGTTAACTCTTTCCTTTCTTATAGGTTATATATCACCAACTTGCTCCTTTTGTTATAATTCTATGGGTAGCTTTTAGGTTCTCTAGACTTTTAGTACCACTGAATCTTCTGTCAGTTTATTTGATTTTTGTATTTTGACAGCTCAGCTGTAGTGTTTTATATGCATTTGCACTTGGCTTTAAAATGCTCGTGTCCTACTTTCATTATAGATAAACAATAATTTTACTTTAAATATAGTATATATATTTAATCATTTCAAAGTGGTATTGGATATTTGTTGTTTAGCTGTTAACTTTTGTACTAACTAAAGTTTGTTGATTGCCTTCCTCCAACTCCACTTTCTTTCCCAGGATGAATAACAGTGTATACTAGTAGAGGCCACTGGGGTCTCAGTTATGTCACTGTTTTTTCCATGTGAAAATTTTATCCAGGGAAGATGGTCTATCCATTGACATCTGATTTGCTTCTTGCAGCGCAATGCCTTTGCCAATGACACCATCCCTTCAGAGAGTTATATCAGTGCTGTGCAGGCTGCGCACCTGGGGATCCTTTGTGGCCAAAGTCTGCCCCTGGCTGCTTCCTGAAGCACACCCTCCTCTCACTGGTCAGGTGACTGGGGATCTTATCGTGTGAGTACCTGGTACATGGCACTAAGAAGGGTTCTCTACGTATTCTATTGTAGCTAACGGGACAATGAGAATTTTTTTTTTTGAGACAGTCTCACTTTGTTGCCCAGGCTAGAGTGAGTGCCGTGGCATCAGCCTAGTCACAGCAACCTCAAACTCCTGGGCTCAGGCAGTCTCTTGCCTCAGCCTCACCGAGTAGCTGGGACTACAGGCATGCGCCACCATGCCCGGCTAATTTTTCTACATAATTTATCGGCCAATTAATTTCTTTTTATTATAGTAGAGACGGGGTCTTACTCTTGCTCAGGCTGGTTTTGAACTCCTGACCTTGAGTAATCCACCAGCCTCGGCCTCCCAGAGTGCTAGGATTACAGGCGTGAGCTACCGCGCCTGGCCCGAGAATTTTTATAACTATATAATAATGCTTTTCTTGTATGCTTCATTAGCAAATAGAGCCTGTAGCTTTATAGTAAAGTATGAGTACTTACCTAGAATGATTTTTTTTTTTTAATTTTTTCACTGTAGAGGATGGAATCAATTTTTTTTATTTTAATAACGTCTTACTCTGTTGCCTGGGCAGAAATTAGGAATCCTTATATCTGACCATAGGGTACAGTACATGGATTCTTGTCACTCTCATATATTAATTGTTTTTTTGACTAGGTATTTCTCTTGTTCATTTTTAATGTGTGCTTACTCTAATGCTGAGAATTATTAGATCTTAAGTGTATTTTGTGGAAACTTTCATGATGCCTTAGTATAAGTTTATTATCATCTCTTATTGTTGGTCCCTTTGATAGTAGAGAAACAGCATTTAAATTTAATGTGTTCAGTTTAATGATGTAATGTGTAAATTAATTTGATCATAGAGTACTTTATTTAACTTCTAGAGCAATGGCTCTCAACTAGGGTCATTTTGCCTCAAAGAACATCTTCCAATTTCTAGAGACATTTTTGGTTATTACAACTGGGGGATGCTACTGGCATTTAGTGGGTAGAGGCCAGGGATGCTATTACATCTCCTATGGTGCACCGGATAATATCTCACAGAAAATAATTATCTGGACCCAAATGTCAGTTTTGCCAAGGCTGAGAAACCTTGTTCTAATGTATTTTCTTAGTTTTTATATTTTAAGGCTATTAGACTGAGTTGAGAATGAAACCATTCTTTTAATAAGCACATTGCTTTTCAGATGCTGTCCCACAACCCAGATTCTACTGTGTCCTATCCCCAGAAGCCTCAGAGGATGATTTGAACCGACTTGATTCTGTGGTACTAGGAATTTTAAAACCCTTTTTTACATGTTGGTCAGATGGCTTCACCAAAATCAGCCAGTCAGAGTGAAAGGGAATGATTTACTTTTTGTAATGATGGAATTTGGTCTCTATTAGGATTTGAGCTTATTCTAAAAGGAAAATATTATTTTGGGGTTTATTTGCTGGCTGTACTTTTGCTGTAGAAGTTGTTCTTTCTGGTAGTTCGCTCCTCTGCCATGTTATTTCTGAAGGACTGTCTTTGATGGCATTTGTGAGATGCAAATATTTTAAGGACACAAAAATTTGCTTTCTCATTCTAAAGCCTGCAGTTGTGTGTTCACAATAGCTTGCAAACTGAGTGAGGTCTCAGAATGGCAATCTGCTGCAAGGAAAATTAATAAGTATAATTTGATGGAATATTTTGTCAATCATGAGGTTAAGTGATAGTGCATAGGCAGTAGGAAAAAATATTTCAAAATACACACTAACGATTTTCTGTCTTGCTTGATGTTAGGCATGTGACGTTCTTTACTCCAAGCTTGTCAAGTATGATGAGCTTTACACTGCACTGACAACCCTGCTTGCAGCTGGATCCCAGCTTGATACAGTCAGGAGGAAGGAAAACAAGAACATAACAGCTCTGGTAAGATCATGGAAACCTGAGAAGACTTTGGGCTGTGTTTGGTAATTGTTAGATAATTTCTACCAGAAATTCCCTTCTGGGATCTAATCATTGTATTGAGCATCTGTTTGCAAAACTGATTGATACTTCAGTATTTCTAGGTATTTTGAGTGGTTATGTTTAACTTTGAGGTAATTTTATTATTTTGGCATTTATTTTTTGGTTATCATTGAGAGAAATGTGACTTTGAGAGTTAATGGCCCTCTGAGTACTATATCTCCTGTGAATGCTGATTTCTGCATAATATTGAAAGCCTCACACTTGAGATTTTTCTATGGTTCTGTAAATGTGTCCCTCTACTTCTAGAAGCTATAACAGGGATTCCATGCCATAGAAAGGGCTGGCTTATTGTGGGCCTGCCAAGCAGAATGTACTGTTCTCTTTCAGTTAATTGGTAAATTATTGGAGAGCCAAAGTTGTCGTAGAACTGCCTTTCTGGTCTATGATATGTGCAGAATATGGAACAAATTATTTGTATTTGTGTTTTACCATTTTCTGCTTTATTATTAGGTGTACTCTCTAGAAAGATCTAGAGAGCATACTCGAGGGCCAAATCTCAGTTGAAAATCAAGACTCTACACAATTCTACTTTAAAAGTTGTATTTGGGGCAGTTCTTTTTGTTGGGGAGATCTTGGGGCAACATCATGCTATATCTGTGTTCCTTTTGCTTCTCCTAGGAGGCATGTGCCCTTCAATATTACTTCTTGATACTGTGGAGGATCCTGGGGATTTTGCCACCATCAAAGACTTACATGAACCAACTGGCCATGAACTCACCTGAGATGAGTGAATGTGACATCTTACATACTCTTCGATGGTCTTCCCGCCTCCGGATCAGCTCCTATGTCAACTGGATAAAGGTACCACAGTGGAACACAGAGTTTGCTGCTAAGGATATTCAAAGCCAATGTAATGTGCTCTGTGCTTATAGGAACTTTTAAATTTAAAGATAGTAAAAGCTTTGAACTCTGTCTGTATTGGTCTCTAAACACTTTTCTTGCTGTCCAAATAGGATCACCTTATCAAACAGGGAATGAAGGCTGAACATGCTGGCTCTCTCATAGAACTGGCATCCACCAAGTGTAGCTCAGTGAAGTATGATGTTGAAATTGTAGAGGAATACTTTGCTAGACAGGTATGTTAGTGTTGGGAACCTGATGACAGAACTTGGTTTCTACCACAGCCTTTTGCCACAACTAATTAATATCTTGGATATTTTTAAAGATCTCATCCTTCTGTAGTATTGACTGCACCACCATCTTGCAACTCCATGAAATTCCTAGTCTGCAGTCCATCTACACCCTTGATGCTGCTATCTCGAAGGTCCAAGTCTCTTTAGATGAGCATTTTTCTAAGATGGCTGCTGAGACTGATCCTCATAAGTCATCGGAGATCACCAAGAACCTGCTTCCAGCCACGCTACAACTCATTGACACCTATGCATCATGCACTAGGTATGAGAGATTATTCATAAGTGGAGATTTCTTGCTTTTCTTAAATTGGAAAAGCTGGCAAAACTGGGTCTGATTTCTCAAATGACAGTAATAGCCTGGAGCTGAGAGATGGCTTCCCCTTGTGGCAGTTGTCACCTGACCCTCTCACGCTTATTTATCTGGGCCTTATAGGAACTCAACTGTTCAGCTCCTGTTCTGTGGGGTTTTTATGCTGAAAGGGGCCTGGATCTTTGTAAAACTTAATTAATGCCTTGCAGTAGAGACAGGGCTATTGCTTGAGGCAAATCTTCGAACAAATATGAGTGATAAACATAAATAACTAATATGAATGCCTGCTGTGTGCCAGGTACTTTTCTAGGTGCTAAGGTTATAGCAATAGCCAAAGCAGACCAAATCATTGCCCTCCGGGAGTTTGTAAGCTCCAGTGTGGTCTATTAAGCCAGTGCTTTCTGTACTGAACTGTTATGTTCTTGGGCAAGTAAGTTTGGGAAATGTTGGGTAAATCAAATAGTGTTTTTTGTTGTTTCATTTAAAAAAACATAGTACTTCTCAGAGCTTGTACATTGCCAGTCTTCTGAGGTGGGGGAAGGGAGATGGATGTGTAGTATTCACTGTTTTCCAAATTTCTCATAGAATTATATTTTGGGAGCAATTTCAGAGGATGGAATATTCTTTGGGAAACAATTACCCATTGGAATTCTTATGAAACCAGGAGAGGACAGATAATATCTGTTATATTTAATGGAATAGGAAACTGAGATATAGTTTTTTCAACTAGTCTAGGCTTCGTTTCTCCTAGATGGGATTAGATTCCTATAGTGTCACCTATCCCCCCTATTTTTTTTTCCCTCAGAGCCTATTTGCTACAGAACTTTAATGAAGAGGGAACAACTGATAAACCTTCCAAGGAGAAACTGCAGGGCTTTGCTGCTGTTTTGGCTATTGGCTCTAGTAGGTGCAAGGCAAACACTCTGGGTAAGCAAATGGATGTGATTTGAATAATACTAATTACTACTGCTAGTATTGCTACTTCTCTCCCTCTCTGCCTGTGTATTGATATTTACCATTTATCAAAGCCTTTCTGTATGTCAAACATTTACATAGGTTTATTTGTTTTGGACTTCATAATAACTCTATGAAGTAAGTGTTATGATCCCTTTTTTACTTATTAGGGAATTGAGTTTTAGAGAGGTTACTTGTTCAAAATCCTACATCGTGCAATTGATGGAGCTGGGATCTAAACCAGGTTCGGTTGGTTCTAAAGCATTAGGCTATTTTGCCTTCAGCATGGATCTTTGTTCTTTTCATTTATAGAGATTAGGAAGACTAGCAAGCTGCTATGTTGTGCTTGGAAAAATATCTTGGGTTAGGAATGATCTGGCAGAAATTTAGGACAGAAAATCAAAGGCCCTCAGCAGGATTGGAGTTAAATGTAGTAGTTACCCTTTAAAATTTATAGTCATTTGTATTTTCCTTAATTTTATACTTTAACACATTGACTGCCACACTAGAAAAAAATTTTTTCCTTGGGGCCATGGTGTTTTATTACAAAAATAGAAATGATCCTTTCTAATTTAATGAAAAATTTCTTATTTTGTATTGTTTTTTTTGTGCATGAGTTATATGCATCTTGAAAAAAAGTTCATATGGCTCCCAAGGTGAAGAGACGTGTGAGTTACATGTGCTTCATGAAGCCCCAGGCTCAAAACTAGCGTGAGTTAAATACAGCTCAGATGGCAGTTAATGTGTTAAATACTCATTTAATATTCAGATAGTCTCAAACTTAGTACCGCCTCATTGAATGCTGTTCTTAATGTGCATTATGATCCCTGCCCTGAAGATTTGTCTTATGAGAAAAAAGATCAAAGTGCTACCTATCCATAGAAGGGGAGCAGATGTTTAATGGTGATTTTAGCCTGACTTGCAGTAACTCAACCTCACTTTGCATCTTATTTTCAGTTGTCTTCTTTACTTGCAAGATTAGAAAGTGAATATGATGGGAAATGAAAACCTTACAATTGAGATTGTTAGCTATTAAGCAATTAGCTGGTTCTTGGACATAGTACTGCTATTGAAATATCCATCTAAGCTATCTTAGTAATTATTTTGACAGCCCCAGCTGTAGTGTTTCTTTATGCATTTGCACTTGGCTTTTAAAATGCTCCATTGTTCCTTCTTTCTTGTGATGATTCCTTGTCCTTTCTGTCGCCTCCAGGTCCGACACTGGTTCAGAATTTGCCATCATCGGTGCAGGCTGTGTGTGAGTCTTGGAACAACATCAATACCAATGAGTTTCCCAACATTGGATCCTGGGTGAGTCCCTTGTCTGTTCCAAGAGTAGAAATGCTGAGTGCAAGCCCTTCTGTGTTCTATTCTTTTTTTTTTATTTTTTTTAATTTTTTTTTTTATTTTTTGAGACAGAGTCTCACTTTGTTGCCCAGGCTAGAGTGAATGCCGTGGCGACAGCCTAGCTCACAGCAACCTCAATCTCCTGGGCTCAAGTGATCCTCCTGCCTCAGCCTCCCAAGTAGCTGAGACTACAGGCATGCGCCACCATGCCCGGCTAATTTTTTGTATATATATTTTTAGTTGGTCAATTAATTTCTTTCTATTTTTAGTAGAGACGGAGTCTCGCTCAAGGTTGAGGTTTCAAACTCCTGACCTCGAGCAATCCGCCGGCCTCAGCCTCCCAGAATGCTAGGATTTCAGGCGTGAGCCACCACGCCCGGCCTGTGTTTTTTTTTTTTTTTTTTTTTCTCCTCCTCCCCTCCGCCCTGTGTTCTATTCTTAAGTCTAAAAAATTAGGATTAAACTTGCTACCAAGAGATCTTTATATACTACAGTCGTATTGTCTGTGGCTGAATCAATAAACAATGCATTTGATTACTCAGGTGGTTCTCATATGGTCCTTCTGCTTAGAAGTCTGTATTACCAGAGGACAAACCACTTTCTTTATTACTCTGAGCCTTAGTTTCTTCACCTGTTAAATATTGGGATGTGATGATTAAATGTATTAAATGTAAAGTGCCTAGCACATTATCTGGAATGTGAATTCTCAGTACAGTTAACTCTTTCCTTTCCTTTATAGGTTATATATCAGCAACTTGCTCCTTTTGTTATAATTCTATGGGGTAGCTTTTAGGTTCTCTAGACTTTTAGATACCACTGAATCTTCTGTCAGTTTATTTGATTTTTGTATATTTTGACAGCCTCAGCTGTAGTGTTTCTATATGCATTTGCACTTGGCTTTTAAAATGCTCCGTTGTTCCTACTTTCATTATAGATAAACAATAATTTTACTGTTAAATATAGTATATTATATTCTAATCATTTCAAAGTGGTATTGGATATTTGTTGTATTTAGCTGTTAACTTTGTACTAACTAAAGTTTGTTGATTGCTTCCTTCCCCCAACTCCACTTTCTTTCCCAGGATGAATAACAGTGTATACTGAGTAGAGGCCACTGGGGTCTCAGTTTATGTCACTGTTTTTTTCCATGTGAAAATTTTATCCAGGGAAGATGGTCTATCCATTGACATCTGATTTGCTTCCTTGCAGCGCAATGCCTTTGCCAATGACACCATCCCTTCAGAGAGTTATATCAGTGCTGTGCAGGCTGCGCACCTGGGGACTCTTTGTGGCCAAAGTCTGCCCCTGGCTGCTTCCCTGAAGCACACCCTCCTCTCACTGGTCAGGTTGACTGGGGATCTTATCGTGTGAGTACCTGGTACATGGCACTAAGAAGGGTTCTCTACGTATTCTATTGTAGCTAACGGGACAATGAGAATTTTTTTTTTTTTGAGACACAGTCTCACTTTGTTGCCCAGGCTAGAGTGAGTGCCGTGGCATCAGCCTAGCTCACAGCAACCTCAAACTCCTGGGCTCAGGCAGTCCTCTTGCCTCAGCCTCCCGAGTAGCTGGGACTACAGGCATGCGCCACCATGCCCGGCTAATTTTTTTATATATATATATATATCAGTTGGCCAATTAATTTCTTTCTATTTATAGTAGAGACGGGGTCTCGCTCTTGCTCAGGCTGGTTTCGAACTCCTGACCTTGAGCAATCCGCCCTCCTCGGCCTCCCAAGAGCTAGGATTACAGGCGTGAGCCACCGCGCCCGGCCAATAAATGGAATTTTCAAGTGGAGGTGGTTTTTGTTTCTAATACAGTAATGAAAAAGAAGAATATGAAATTTTATGACTAGACTTATATATAGAATAACTATCAAGGGGAACAAAAAGACTGGAGTAAAAGCCCTTGCCCCAGTAAATAATTGCATTTTTCTGTCCATGCCTTGTAGTTTTTTGGAGTGTGTACACTAACTGGGTTTCATTTTCTTTGTTGAAGTTGGTCAGATGAGATGAACCCGCCGCAGGTAATTCGGACTCTGCTACCTCTTCTTTTGGAGTCAAGCACTGAGAGTGTTGCCGAGATCAGTAGCAACTCCCTGGAACGCATCTTGGGCCCTGCCGAGTCTGATGAATTCTTGGCTCGTGTTTATGAGAAGCTGATAACTGGTTGTTACAACATTCTGGCCAATCATGCGGATCCCAATAGGTGAGCCTGATGGAGTAGAACAGTCAGGTGTCAGGTTCCTGTGTCCTATGGCTGCGGTCGCTGAAATGTACCAGCACTGCTGCCTTTATGCCATTAATGAATACCTGTTGCTATTGTGCTTTTCAACAGAAAATTCTCTATGCGCATTTTGCATTCATGTGGAAATATGTGGAGAGTTATTTGCAGTTATCTTCCTCTTTTATGATGAATTCTTAGGAATAAGCATTAAGAAAATGGAAGACTTAAATGTTCAGATTGGATCCTTAAAATTAAATAATTTAACAAATGATTATTATGTGCTACACTAGATGTGATGAGATATGCAAAGGAGCTTGATAAAATTAGTTGTTTATTTATTTATTTTTTTTTTAAGATATGATCTCTCTAGATCTTGGTCTGTTGTACAGGCTGGAGTGCAGTAACACAATCATAGTCACTGTAACTATGGACTCCTGGGCACAGGAGGCTCCTACCTCAGCCTCCTGAGTAGCTAAGGCTATAGGCACGTGCCACCATGCTCAGCTGATTTAAAAAAAATATATTTTTTTTTAAGAGAAGATCTCACTGCGGTCTGCAGGCTTGTCTCGAATTCCTGGCCTCAAGTGATCCTTTCACCCCTACTCCCAAAGTGTCGGGATTATAGGCGTAAGCCACTGTGCCTGTCCAAAATTAGTCTCTAATGTTATTGTGACTTTACTTCTGAAATGGGTTGTCTGTGGAATTAGGAGATCCCATAACATTGTTAGACCTTAGTAGTTTAGGCGGTGTTCATGTAGATGAGCCATAAAGAACAGTCACGTTGTACTTTTCCCAACTTGGAACCATACAGATAAAGGGTCCAAGTGGTGAGATTTCCTGTCTGTTGTTGAGAGGTCCAGATTTTCATCAAGGTCTCCTTTTCCCTCTGCCTTTCTTTTCTTTTTCTTCTTCTTTTTTTAAAACAGATAAGAAATTTGAGATAATTTAGCTATACAGAAATGATTCATCCAAAGTGTCTCCCCCCAACAAAATCAATGGCAGAATCTGTATTAGGACTCTGAGCTTTAGATGTCTTTCCTGTTTAATTTCCTAGGAAAAGGGAGAATAAAAAAAAATTATTTTTAACATTAAACATTTATTGAATACCTACTGTGTGCCAGGTTTTATGCTAAACTTTGACAAAACAAAATTGAACATTGCCCTCAAGGTTTAGTCTTAAACAAACAAACTTTGGATTTTTTAAATGTCAGTATGAAGAAGATACTGAAACAGATATTAATACTGGTTGTTAAGTTTTCCTTTTGATCCTCAGTGGGCTGGATGAATCCATCTTGGAAGAATGTCTCCAATATTTAGAAAAGCAACTGGAAAGTAGCCAGGCTCGTAAAGCGATGGAGGAGTTTTTCTCTGATAGGTGAGCTGTGTTTTGCTTTATTCAGTGAACATGTTTTGAATGCCTCCTGAAAGCAAGGAGCTATATATGTTGACTTTGGTGTTTTTTCTCAGGGAATACTCACTGCCTGTTTAGGTGTCAGTACCTTGGGGAGGACTTAGGCTATTTGCTGACTCCTTTGGGTTTTGATGAGGGAATTGATTTCATGAGCACCTTGTGTTGTTGACTCACAAATGACCATTTTTTCTAGAGGAGATGAGATTGTGAAGAAATAGAAACGAATGCCTTTTATGTGAGGCTTAATGTGATTCTTCCATTTTCCCCCCCTCCTGCCTCCCAGTGGAGAACTTGTGCAGATCATGATGGCAACAGCCAATGAGAACCTCTCTGCTAAATTCTGTAACCGAGTTTTGAAATTCTTCACCAAACTCTTCCAGCTGAGTGAGTGACAGCTTTTAGTAATCTTCTTATGGGAACTTTGATGTCCGGCTAATACTGTGCATATCTTCTGCCTGAGTTTAACTATAGCATGAAAATGCTAACAAGTGGAGAGAATCCCTCAGAGAAAGTTTGGAAGGAAGTTAAAAACTTGCTTAGAGACTTTTCCCCTTTCCTGGCTCATAATTTGCCCCTTCCTTACCTCCCCCTTGCCCTTCTTCACTGACCTTAGCCTCTTGGTCTGTTCCCAGCTGAGAAGAGCCCTAACCCAAGCCTCCTACATCTCTGTGGCTCTCTGGCGCAGCTGGCATGTGTGGAGCCTGTGCGTCTGCAGGCCTGGCTCACTCGCATGACTACATCACCCCCAAAAGATTCTGATCAGCTGGATATAATTCAGGAGAATCGGCAATTATTACAGTTATTGACCACATACATTGTTCGGGAAAACAGGTAAAACAATTGCATTTATGTCATGTTTCCCTCCCTGACAATCCCAGAAATATGTTGGTATTTGCAGCTATCTTTCCTTTGGGCATCAGTCTTAGCATCTTCAACATTTTCCTATGGATTATAGTGTAGTTCCTTAATTTGTTTCTGTGGAAAGACCTTTGGAATGACTTGACCTGTCAGTTGCAACCTGAGTGAATGTTTTGTGCTCTGGTAGCCCAAGTCCAAAACTGGGATTGGTATATATAGTTGTATATTTAATGTTTAATTTAAAACCTCTGTTAATTATTCTTACAGATTTGAAATACGAGATTTCTGTTGGCTGCTCACCAATTTGTTCTTTCTTTTCTAACAGCCAAGTTGGGGAAGGTGTATGTGCTGTGCTTCTGGGCACTCTGACCCCCATGGCAACAGAGATGCTGGCCAATGGTGATGGGACTGGCTTCCCTGAACTCATGGTCGTGATGGCCACCCTGGCCAGTGCCGGTCAAGGTGCTGGTCACCTTCAGCTTCATAATGCTGCTGTGGACTGGCTGAGCAGATGGTAAGATGATGACACTAGAGGAACCTATTTCTTGGTTACAACATTGTTCTTGGAGAATAAGGGAGTAACTTCTTCTTGCAGGGTACTTTCTTAGTAACTCAGAGTGAATATAAAAGAAATTTGAATCTCTACCTTTTTATTAGGGTTTGAGGGGGTAGTCAATAACTCTGACCACTTTAGATTTCATAATTTTCTCAGTAGAGAGATTCCTGTTCATTATTTACAAGAGAAGACTTGGGAAAAGTATGCCAACTGTCAATGATAATTCTAAGACCACACTACCCCACCCCAAGCTGTGTGATTGTATAATGCATACATAGTTGTCTAAGGATGCTTTTGCATGCTTACAAAGCATTTAGGCAGTGCTTTTGCAATATGCTAAAATCGACTTAAGGTTCATGAAGATGCTTCCTTTCTTTGGTTCCTTAGATGACTTTGTGTCTTCCCCTTCCCCCTCTTTTTCTTTGGGACAGCAAGAAATACCTGTCACAGAAGAATGTGGTTGAAAAACTGAATGCCAATGTAATGCATGGAAAGGTAAGAACAGTGAGGAACACTGTTCCTGGACAATAGGAAGTGAAGGACAGATGATTCTTATCTTTGTGGTCAGGTGGAAGTCTGTCTTCCCTATTGACTTCTGTTCCTTGCTAGCCTACAGAGGTTAAGGCTGATAATCTCAAAGTACTAGAAGTGTGTAATTGCCAACTGTGTGCTCTTAGGTGTCTTCCAGTTGCCAAGAAGTGAGAGGAAGGAAATATACTGGCAAACAATATACAACAGAATCCTTAAAACACAGTAAATTCCTGCCATTCTAAATATTAGGATGCTATGGAAAACAGTCCCCCTGTTTAGGCCTTGGCATTATGCACTCTGAGTCAGTGTTAGATGGGGTTACATACTGCCTCTTCGGCTCATAGAATTGTTTAATTTGCCTAAAGGTTTAGGTCACTATGTTGAGAAAAAGGTTTTGAAACTGACAGAAATCTTACATTCAGGCATTCCCCCTCCTACCCAATCCATGAACCTGACAGAGGTGACTAAGATCAGGTAGCTTACCTCTGAGACCCACCATGGTACCATTCATTTCTTCCTCCTTTCTTGCTTATCTTTATCCTTTCAGCACTGAAATGTCAGAATGCATAGAGCCAAGGAACTTAGAAATATGAGTCTTTGATGCCTGACTACTGGGTTTTTTAGGCAAGCATGAACTACCTGCAATGGTTTGCTGGAAAATTTTTCTCTTGATCTCTGAAGCTATTCCTTTCTTTCTGTATTAATTTAAAACCTGATCATGAAAATGACCTTCACTATGGTAAAAAAAAAAAAAAGTAATGGTAAGAGAAAAATTCTAATGAGAGCTTCTTCATACATATAATCTGGTCTTTTCTTGAATGATTTTAGTCTCTATTTTCACTCCATTCTCTTAATTTCAATTCTACTTTATCTTGTAAGATTTTGTAGAGAGCTCTCTTTTGTGTTAAAGAATGAATACACACCAATTCAGTTTAATTTACTGATCAGCTGCTTGCAGACATAGTGGTAAGAGCTGGAGAAATAGATAATTAAAACATATTGTTTTTTCCCCCTCTGTTTTTATACCATTCCTGTGATCTTGAGCTTTATTGGAAAAATCTTGAGAAAACGTGGTTTACATAATAAAGCGTGGAGAACTGAAGTTTCTGTGGGGCTGTGGTCTTCTCTTGCAGCATGTGATGATCTTGGAGTGCACATGCCACATTATGTCTTACTTGGCTGATGTTACAAATGCCCTGAGCCAGAGTAATGGTCAAGGCCCAAGTCACCTCTCAGTGGATGGGGAAGAGCGGGCCATCGAGGTGGACTCAGACTGGGTGGAGGAGTTGGCAGTGGAAGAGGAAGATTCCCAGGCTGAGGATTCAGTAAGTACTAAGTAACCTCTCAGTTAATCTCTCAAGAGAATGATTGACTAGCACACTAACTGGTTTTGGGTTTTCTTTTCTGGCCCCTTGTGAACTTCCAAACTTCCAGCTTACAAAACTAATGCCGGACTCCAAGATTCTAGGCCTGCAGAGCCAACCAAAGCAAGGGCTGTAATTTCTTACAGAAAGGATTTTTTAATAAGCATATGCCTTTCTTTAGTCCAGAGTCATTTGTCCTGCTTCTCAGTCTTTGTATCCAAAATGAAATGTTAGGGATTCTTCATGGGGATGGAGGGAGCTTCCTTATACAGAAAGCATAAGATTTTTTTTTTTCCTTAATCATAAAACTCTAAGGTCTTACTCACCTGAAATTGCAGCATATTTTCATCCAGCTAGCTATTTCCAATTGTGACAGGTTTCTATTGGTCATTTATGATTTGGTTATTCACTTTCCATAGGGTATTGAGGCAGCTATATTTTTGTAAGTATCTATGTAGAGGGATGTAGTTCTGATTAAAAAGACTTATTTATCTTTGAAGGATGAAGATTCTCTTTGCAATAAACTCTGCACTTTTACGATCACACAGAAAGAATTCATGAACCAGCATTGGTAAGAGTAGTTCTTTCTGTTTGGTGAGGGTTTGCTGGGCCTTGATTGTTGGGACTTCTGAGCTAATTTGCTGGTTCTTACTCTTTGTAGGTACCACTGTCACACCTGCAAAATGGTGGATGGAGTGGGTGTGTGCACAGTGTGTGCTAAAGTATGCCACAAGGATCACGAGATTTCCTATGCCAAGTATGGGTCCTTCTTCTGTGACTGTGGGGCCAAGGAAGATGGCAGCTGCTTGGTGAGAGATTTGGAACCTTTACTGAGCTATAAAGAATGGTATATTAGGGACACCGGAATACTTAAGCTGAACTAGAAAATTCCCATGGAATCTCCATGTTACCTTGGTCTAGGAATATAATCTGGTTCTGTCACTAATGATATGTATAATCATGGTCTAAGCACTTCACTTAGAATATTAGAACTAGCAAAGTCTTAGAGATCTTGTATTCTGTTTTACCTAAGACCTCCCCATAATTTCAGATGTTAAAATCAAGGTTTGATGCTGTTATGGGTAAAGAAGTTAGATATTAGGTAAATATCTTGAAGGTCAGAATTTAGGCTTTTGGGTAACATTTAAATGCTTAGCCAATTTCTCCTTTGAGTTAGACTTTCCTCCAAGATCTTAGGCAATATTTCCCCTGTATTTGTGGCAAGAACTAAGGGACACTGATGCTTTCTGTCCCTAGGCACTGGTGAAGAGAACTCCCAGCAGTGGCATGAGCTCCACCATGAAGGAGTCAGCATTTCAGAGCGAACCCAGGGTTTCAGAGAGTCTGGTGCGCCATGCCAGCACTTCTCCAGCTGACAAGGCCAAGGTCACCATCAGTGATGGAAAGGTTACTGATGAAGAGAAGCCGAAGAAGAGCAGCCTGTGCCGCACAGTAGAGGGCTGCCGGGAGGAGCTGCAGAACCAGGTGGGGCTTACTGGTGTTCCCTAGTAAGTAGACAGTTTAGAGCCTGGCAAGTTTGTGTGAGAATAAATAATGCACAAGTCCCTCTTGGCAACTTGTTTTCTTTTTTTCTTTAAGTTTACCCATTTTCACAGTATGAATACAAATAGTATGTTTTTAATCACTAGGAAAGGGTTTATGACTGGGGAGTATTAGGAGTATTATGGGGTGGAGTTGGTGGGAGAGTAAATTTTAGTTGTGTAAACTCTGGAGCACCTTTCTTGGCCAGCGTTCCTCATCTGAAGCACAGAATGCAGAAAATGATTTGAGTGATTATTTTCTCATTTTTTCTAATGATAGTATATACCTAGAACCATTTTAGATATATAGGCAAGAAGTTAGCTAATTATATATGATGAATGCCTTTGAGCGTTAGGGTGTCTACATGGGACCCCTGGCTTAGAAAGATTGCTCAAGAGTCCATAGCAAAATGGCAGAGTATAACCCATTGTTTTTATGTCTTTTTTTCACCGTGTATTTCAATTTTTCTTAGGCCAATTTCTCCTTCGCTCCTCTTGTGTTAGACATGCTCAATTTCCTCATGGATGCCATTCAGACCAACTTTCAGCAGGCTTCAGCAGTGGGGAGCAGCAGCCGGGCGCAGCAAGCCCTCAGTGAGCTGCATACAGTTGACAAGGCAGTTGAGATGACAGACCAGCTCATGGTGAGTGTGCTGGGATCATGATGTTTAGTGGCTGTGGGAATGCAAATTTGTTGAGATCCCTAGTTTCTCTGAGGAATATACTTGGAGCAGTAGATTTAAAACTCGAGACCATACTATGAACAATGCAGAAATCAGCATATTAAGTGTGTCTTCAAAAGAAGGGAATCCAGGGTCATATGGACCAACCCAGGGAATAAATCCCCATTTTAGTTCATGTAAATATATGAACCCCCAAGATGTGAGGAACTCCGTTTTAGGGTAATTATAATAGTTAGAAATTTCTTCTTTTTGTATATCTTTTATTTTATTTTTTATTTTAGCATAGAAATTTCTTCTTTATATAAAATGGATAGCCTCCTCACTGTATCTTCTTCCCTAAAGTTCATCTAGCTTGCAAAATAATGTTTGTCCTCTTTTGTTTATAGCCCTTTAACTAATTTCCTTTAGTTCTTCATATCACAGGGGTTATAAGTCATTATCTACTTTAAAACCTGCTGCTCAGCACTGAATGTAGAGCATCTGATGTGGCCTTCCTGGCCTTTTTAGCCGCAGAGTTAAGTAGTAGAAAGTAAAGTGGCAACAATTCCAAAAGGGAAGTGAACAAAGATTGTGAATGAGTCACATGGATAGATCTCATAGGTTGCTGTTTTTAAGTGAATAATATTCACTTGGAAATGCATGCATACGCACATATAGTCTGGTATTTTATTGAAAGATAGGTCAGTTTTAGAGCATTGATTTTTAGATATTAAAGATGAAACTAAAAATTACTGGTGTGGGCTTGGTGACCCATAAAGTTGCTGGCTTTTAATTTTGCCAGCAAAATTTTCAATTTCATTGATTTACATCAATGAATGAAAAATAATTCCATCTATCATAACCATTTATAAGATAAAGAACATTTTGATTTTTTTTAATAAAAGGCCAGTATTTTGTATTAATTAAGTGTAGCTTTGTGAAAAATTCACTGTGTTGTTCTTATTGGACTGATAACTTTAACAAATTTACCTAGCTATCCATGGATTGACGGTTGAAACCCATTGCTTTTGAAGGACTAAATTGTGCTTGAATAGTGTATGAATCCACTTGCTCTTATTTGCCTTATTTCTGTCTACTTTCTCTGTTTCCCTCCTTGCCAGGTTCCCACCCTAGGCTCCCAGGAAGGTGCCTTTGAGAATGTTCGGATGAATTACAGCGGAGACCAGGGCCAGACTATCCGGCAGCTGATCAGCGCCCATGTGCTCAGGCGGGTCGCTATGTGTGTGCTTTCCTCCCCACATGGGCGCCGCCAGCATTTGGCTGTGAGCCATGAGAAGGGCAAGGTGGGTTCTCCAATTCCTGCCCACTCATGTTCGGTCATGTTTGTCTTCAGTGCTAAGCAAAACAAATAGATGACCACACTCAGATTGGCCTTCTATTGGAAAAAGTCCACTGGATTCCAGGAATGATTTAGCGACAGATCTCATTGAGCTTTTTTTTTTTTTTTAATTTCAAGTATTCATGGTACAAATGTTAAGTTACATTTTGCCATGGTGCCCCCCCTCTAGTCAGAGCTCAGCATGACCCTCCCCCAAACTTGCAGGTATCTCACTCATTGTGTTGTATTACCATCCCTCGTCCCCCTCCCCACCTGCCCGAACACCCGATGAATGTTTTTCCCCTGGTGATTCAACGTTGTGTTGATCTAGTTGAATACCAATTTGCTCGGTATCGCAATTGGTGGTGGCTTGTTTTTCCATTTGAGATACTTCACTTAGTAGAATGGGGTCTTCCAGCTCTATCAGGGAAAATACAAGAGGTGTATATCACCATTGTTTCTTAAGCCTGATAGTACGTTCATGGTATACATGTACCATGGTTTTATTAATCCACTCCATGAATTGATGGCCACTTGTTTTTCCCAAACTTATGCAATTGTGAATCTCGTGTTTTGTAGTAATACATTACGAGTTGTGATGAATTTCACTGTTCGATTCACATAGAACGTATTGATTTTGGGTAGTCCACTGTTGCTCATGAAATGTTGATGTGAAATTGCTAGGTTTCATCGCGCTCCGCCTATTACTGTGTTCGACTGATGTACACATGGGATTCTCCTATTGCTTTCCCAGGGGGTTGAATAGTCTGCAGTTCCCCAGCAGTAATAGATGATAGTGTGGAACTCTGTCTTCGATACCCGCCCCACTATGTTGAATATAAGAGAGATGATGGACTTACATTCCGAGACATAATCGAATGGCTATAAGTATCGATGTATATACTATCGGCTGGTTCTTGATTTGCAATGGTTCCTGTTTTAGAGATGTTGAGTTTTTTTTATGTTTGATTGGCATTCTTCTGATGTCTTTTGGAATAAGTTCTGTTATGTACTTTGCCATTTTATAGGGTTGGTATATGATTTTCTTGCTGATTTCTGGTTCTAAATAGATTCTATTATCAGCCTTATCAGCGGTGTAGCTTGCAAAATTTTTCCATTCTGTGGGGTTGCTCTGTTGTCTGATAGTTTCTCTTGGCTGTGAGTAGCTTTTTATATTTTTCAGTCTTATTTAATTTTTGTTCTGCTGTGATTGCTTTTGGCTGTCGTTCTTCCATAAAATATTTGCCTAGGCCATATCTAGAAGAGTTTCAATGTTTTTCTCTAGATTCTAAAATTTCACCTCAATGTTTAAGTCTGTTACCAAATGAGTTGATTTTGTGAGGTTGAAGGTGTGAGTCTCTTTTCTAGTCTTCTACAATGTGGCTTATTCCCACGTTTTCCAGCCCATTTATTTGAATTAAGAATCTTTTCCTCAGTGTAGTTTGTCTGTTTGTCATAAAGATTAGTTGGCTATTTCGTTCTGTCCATTGGTCAGTGTCCTGTTACTATAGTGCTATATACAAGCAATTTAATTACTAATGGCACTTAGTGATAATGTTTGAATCTGAAATAAATTGATAACCTGCCTTTTTAATTATTATATTAACCATAGAATTGATATTATCTTTACGAAGGTATCATCTCTGGTTAATCGAAGTAAAACAATTTTTTTGTATCTGAAATGATTGATGGTATTTTATGTGATGCATTGCTCTTGTAGGTATCTTGGGTAGTATATGACATTTTACATGTTGTTTCTGCTGTTGACCATGAGCATGTTTTTCTTCACCTGTTTACAGTTCCTTGCTTTTTTCTTCAGTGTTTCATAGTTTCCCTGTAGAGGTTTTTACCTCCTTAGTTTAAATATATTCCTGGTATTCTTCTTTGTTGCGTTTTGAAGAATGAGTCTTGTTTCGGTTCTCACTTGTATGTGTTTGGTGTATATTGACTGCTTTTTCTTGTATTGATTTTGTACCTGAGATCTACCAATTATTTATTCTGTTCAGAGTCTCCTCTGGTTGAATCCTTGGGGGTTTTTCTAAAGGTATGATATGTCATCAGGAAAGAGGTGGAGTTTGATCTCTTTGCTCCCATTTGGATACTTAATTCTGCTCCTTGTTCTGGAGTGGCTGTAGCAAGGACTTCCAGATATTTGAATAAGATGAGATAGTGGAACTTGTCTTGTTCAGTTCTAACTGGGGAATGTTTTAAATTTTCCCCTTCAGTACTGATATGGTGTGGTTTGTCATACTTTGGCTATATCATTTTTAGTTCAGAGTTCCCGTCTATGCCTATTTTTGTTGAGCGTTACTTATCACAAAGTTTGAATTTTGTCAGATGTTTTTCTGCATCTCTGAGAGGATATATGGTCTTTGTTTTGCTTCTGTTATATTGATATTTATGATTGCGTATGTTGAACATCCCCTGTTTCCCTGGATGAAATGAACACTTGTTCGTGATGGATTATCTTTCTTTGGGCAAGCACCATGGATTCGATTGGCTAGTTTGTTGGAGAATTTTACATTCTATATTATAAGGATATTGGTCTGTAGTTTCTTTTTTTGTTGCATCTTTTTCTGATCTTAGTATAATGGTTATGTTCGCTTCACTAAAATGTTGTTGGGGAGGATCATCTTTCTCGATTTGTAGGAATAATTTTGCAGGATTGGCACCCAGTTCTTTGGTAGGTGTGGTAAACTTCCGGTTGAACATCGGTCGACTTTGTCTTTAGGAAAGTTTTTTATTACTTTCAATTTCAGTACTTGATATTGTCTATTCAATCTCCGGGTTAGAATTATTTTCTCCTGGTTAGCCTAGAGCTGTGTGTGTCTAAGAAATTGTCCATTTCCTCCACATTTTCCAGTTTGTGTGCATAGAGGTTTTTTATATCTTATTATATCTTGTATCTCCGGGGTCAGTTGTATTTCTCTTTATTGTTCTTGATGAGCTTAGTAGAGATTTTCTTTCTGTTTTCATTAGTCATAGCAAAGGTGTGTCAATTTTATTTTTTCAAAGAACCAACTTTTTGTTTTATTAATCTTCCGTGTGGTTTCCTTGTTCTCAATTTCGTTTAGTTCTGATTGGATCTTAATGATTTCACTTCTGCTGGGTTTGGGGTCGGTCTGTTCCTCTTTTTCCTGCTCTTTGAAACGACTCATTAAGTTGTCTATTTGTAATATTTTCTACTTTTGCATGTAGGCATTTATGGAAATAAACTTTCCTCTCACGACTGCTTTAGCTGTGTCCCACAGGCTTTGGTAACTTGTGTCCCCTCTGTCATTTCTTTCAAAGAATCTTTTGATTTCCATCTTGATTTTGTCATTTATGAAGTGATCATTCAGGAGAAGGTTGTTTAGTTTCCATGACTTTGTGTAGAAATGAGAACTCCTGTTAGGATTGATTTCTGCATTTATTCCATTGTGGTCTGAAAAGATACATGGTATAATTTCTGTTTTTTAAAATTGTTTGAGACATGCTTTATGTCCTAGGATATGGTCAATCTTAGAGAATGACCCATGAGCTGATGAGAATAATGTATATTTAGTGGTTTAGGGGCAGAATGTCCTGTAAATGTCAGTCAGGCCCATTTGTTCTAGAATTCTGTTTAAGTACATTATTTCTTTGTTGATTTTCTGTTTGGAGGATCTGTCCTGTGCTGTTAGTGGGGTGTTGAAGTCTCTGACAATTATGGTATAGTTGTTTATCCATTTGTTTAGATCAAGTAGAGTTTGCTTTATGGATTTGGGTGCACCAAGGTTGGGTGCATATATATTTAGAATTGTTATGTCTTCTTGTTGAATTGTACCCTCAACATTATATAGTGACCTTCTTTGTCTTTTATTACTTTTGTTGATTTAAAAGCTAAGTTATGTGTAATTAGCATTGCCACGCCAGCTTTCTTTTGGCTTCCATTTGCTTGAAATATTGTTCTCCACCCTTTACCTTTAGTCTAACTGCATCCTTGCAGGTTAGATGTGTTTCCTGAAGGCAGCAGATACTTGGCTTGTGTTTTTTTATCCATTTGGCCAGCCTGTGTCTCTTGAGTGGGGAGTTCAAGCCATTCACATTTATTGAGATAATTGATAGGTGGGGCAGATTTCTATTCATTATGTTGGGTTGAACTTTGTTGCTTTATTTTCTGTCTTGAGCCATTGTGGTATCTAGGCTTTGATCTTTAGCTTTGAGTAGATTTATATTTGTGTTTGTTGTGCTGATCTATGGGTAACACTGTTTTGAGTATTTGAAGGGCTGGTCTTATCTTGGTCAATGCCCTCAGTCTTTGCTTATCTGAAAATGTCTTCATTTCTCCTTCATATACAAAACTTAGTTTTGCAGGGAATAAGATTCTAGGCTGGGTATTATTCTGTTTCAGGAGAGTGAGAATGGGGCCCCAGTCTCTCCTTGCTTGTCAGGTTTCAGTAGAGAAGTCTGGTCTTATTCGGAATGGCTTTCCTTTGTGTGTTATTTGCTTCTTTTGTCTTACAGCTCTTAGAAGGGCCTCTTTAGTTGACATTTTGGTCAGTCTCATGACTGCGTGTCCTGATGTCTTCCTGTTTGCATTGAATCTCCCAGGGGTCCTTTGAGCTTCTTGAACTTGCATCTGGAGATTTTTAGCAAGGCCTGGGAAATTTTCCTCTATTATATCTTCCAATAGCTTGTCCAACCTTTGTGTGTTTTCTTCTTCCCCTTCTGTTAACCTTATGACCCTCACATTAGGTTTCTTCACATAATCCCACATCTCTTGTAGGCTTTGCTCTTTTCTCTTGTTTCTCTGCTCTATCTCTGTGACCGATTTATTTAATTGGAAGGTGTTATCTTAAATCTCTGAGATTCTTTCTTCTGTTTGATCTACCCTATTCTTGAAGCTTTCCACTGTGTTTTGTAGTTCCCTGAATTGATTTCATCATTTCCAGGAGTTTGGTTAGACTTTTCTTCATTGTTTCAATTTCTTTAGTGAATTTTTATTCCAGATCCAGGAATCTTTTTGTGTTTTCTTTGTGTTGGTTATCCAGTTGTTCTTGCAAGTCGTTGAATTTTCTTACGATCCATGTTCGAAATTCCTCTTCTGTCATTTTAGTGGTCTGATTTTGCTTCGTGTCCATTTCTAAGGGGCTGGTGCTCTTCTTTGGGGGTGTGCTTTCCGTTTGGTTCTTAATATTTCCAGAGTTCCTTTGCTGATTTCTTCCCATCTAGATCAGTTGTTGCTTCTTGCCTTTAGGTTTTTGTTTGGATCTCATTGAGCTTTTTAAAATACTTAAATCCCGAGTTATTGCATTAGACCTAGAGCTGGTATGACTAGGACAAAGACTGTTTCTGATTAGTAAATTTCTACTCAAAACTTCTTCTTTAATCCCCCAGAAGAGGTAATGACCAGCACTTGCCTAGGACAGTGTGGCTCCCAATCTTGCCCAGTCTGGCCACTCTGGAGGAAGACTCTGTTCCTTATTTAGTCCTTCCCTACCCTCCTAGCCTTCTAAGTTGGTGTTGTTTTGTAAAACTAGTAGAAGTTGGAAGAGTGCTAGGTATCATGCTTTTCTATATTCTGGCCTCTCTATCACCACTAATGTTACTTTTACTTTATCTTGGGTAAAAATATGGGTAGTCTGTAAGCAACTCTAAAATCATTTCAAAAAGACTTTCACAGAAAACTAGAAAAGAATAGTGGTACATAGAAACTTTAACCGTTTTGTGAATTGATTCTACAAAAAGAAGTTGGTTTCATTACTCATCTGTTTTGTCCTCCCTGGAAGGAGAGAATAAAAGACATTCCATGTCTTTTAGCCAGGAGAAATTGACGCTAATATAGGTCTAGGATTTTCCTATGAGACTTACCTGTGAAAAGAAAGACTGCAAACTAATATCCCTATTGAAAGAGTTTTTGGGCAGGGTGTGGTGGTTCACATCTGTAATCCTAGCACTCTGGGAGGCTAAGGCAGGAGGATTGCTTGAGCTAAGGAGTTTGAGACCAGCCTGAGTGAGGGTGAGACCTGTCTCTACAAAAAAAATAAATAAATAACAGGAAAGAAAGAAAGAAAAATGGCCAGGCATGGTGGTGCATGCCTACAGTCCCAGCTACTCAGGAGGCTGAGGCAGGATTGTATGAGCCCAGAAGTTTGAGGTTGCAGTGAGCTATGATGACACCACTACACTCTAGCTGGTGTGACAGAGTGAGACTCTGTCTCCAAGAACAAAAAAGAATTTTTTTTACTCCTCTGGGTTCTGTGAAAGGACTAGGGGTAAGAATAAATTGGTAATTGTTCCTTTGCAGATCACTGTTCTGCAGCTCTCTGCACTTCTAAAGCAAGCAGATTCCAGCAAAAGGAAGTTGACTCTGACACGCTTGGCTTCTGCGCCAGTTCCCTTTACTGTGTTAAGCCTTACTGGAAACCCTTGCAAGGAGGACTACCTGGCGGTTTGTGGGCTGAAGGTAAAAATCTTGATCCAGGTTTGATTACCTTGCATAGTGGACCCAAGTCACCTTCTCTCCCCTGTTCTCAGCACCACTTTTTCTTACTCACTGTTAAGATTAAAACTTAAAAGCTGTTGAAATGCAAAATGAATCTTTCTTTGAATTCCTTCCAGGTCTTCCAAACTGCTCCTGTATTGGAAATAATCTGTGTGTTTTTGAAACCTGAAATGTTATTAGACAGCTTAAATATTATACTATCTGAAGGCAAGGAATGTTAGGGAAGAATAGGAAACTTTAGAACTCTGAAATGAATTAGCCTACTTTCCAAATCATCTTTTAACTGTTTTGTTCCTTACATTTTCCAGGACTGCCACGTGCTCACCTTTAGTAGCTCAGGTTCTGTTTCGGATCACTTGGTATTACACCCTCAATTGGCAACGGGGAACTTCATCATCAAAGCTGTGTGGTTACCTGGTTCGCAGACTGAGTTAGCAATTGTCACTGCAGACTTTGTTAAGGTACAGTGGTAGCTCTTTGATGCTATGGTTTTAGAATTGTTCTACTTTTAAATCCAGAATGTCTGATTTCCATTATGCATGAGCTTCTTCCAAAAGTTAAAAATAAAAAAATCACACATTTTGTTGCCTTTTGCTATGTTGCTGAGCAGGTGCTTTCTGTCTGTAGGCAATAGCAAATTCATTCTGGTTCTGCCCTCACTGTACCAAGTGCACACCTATTACTGTATTTGTTATAGAATTTGTTTATGTGTATTTTTCCCCTACTTGTTCTTTGAGGGAAAGAAAAGGGATATTTTATTCATCTTTCTATGCCCAGTGCCTAACACTTGGTAGGTGCTTGTTGAATGAAGAATGAATGTCCATTACTAGCCAGTTCCAGCTGTTTGGATTTACCAGGATAATTGGGGATGGGACTGAAATAGATTTCCCTTATTTAGTCTTTCTTCCATCCTGCAGATTTATGACCTGTCAGTTGATGCCTTGAGTCCAACCTTCTACTTTCTCCTGCCGAGCTCAAAGATAAGAGATGTTACCTTCCTTTTCAATGAGGAGGGAAAGAACATCATTGTTATAATGTCTTCAGCTGGGTACATCTACACTCAGCTCATGGAAGAGGCCAGCAGTGCCCAGCAGGGACCCTTCTATGTCACTAATGTCCTGGAGATCAATCATGAGGACCTGAAGGTTAGAGCACGTGTTGCCGTTTCTTTCTATTCCAGATTTAATTACTTAGCAACTCCTCTATTCTTTTTTTCTTTCTTTTTGCTTCTAACTTTTTACCTAATAGCAAAAACTCTTGTTCTTTGAGACTAAACTGATGCAATTTGAAGTTCCTTTATTCTCAGGGTATTTGTAATGTTTAACCACAGGGATTTCATGCTTAGAGTATGAGAGCACCTAATCTTGATTTAAAATTAATAACCAGCATAAACTGGAAGCTGGTAGCCTAAGCAACAGGAGGAGTTAATGCAAATGTGTGCCTTTTTCCCAACAGGACAGTAATAGCCAGGTGGCAGGTGGTGGTGTGTCCGTGTACTACTCCCATGTATTGCAGATGCTGTTCTTCAGCTATTGTCAAGGCAAATCATTTGCAGCCACCATTAGCAGGACAACTCTGGAAGTGTTGCAACTCTTCCCCATCAACATCAAAAGGTAGGAATGAGCATTTGATGTTCAACTTCCCCAATGTCCACATTCAGTAGGGAATCTCCACTCCCACTTGCAAGTACCTGGTATCTGTTTTGAGTCTAGTGAAACTTAGTTCTCACCAGCAATCCTCTCGCTTCCCTGCTAGGTATCTTAAAATCAAGCAGCATCCAGGGCTGGCAGGTAGGGTTGCCTGCATGGTTTGTCCTCCACTGTGGTGATCCCAAGCTGTAAGAGGAAGTTTTGAGGGGCCAGTGTTACTTAGAAGGAAAATCTATAATCAAGGCAGGCAATGTGATTTTAATGTGAGAAGGGAGCCTAAGTTTCTCCTAGCCACTCTGCCTGCCATAATGCCCTTTAATTTTCCTTCTTGGGGGAAACTTACTCTGTCAGCAAATAAAACATAGTATTAGTAATGAAAGCATGGTTGGAATTTGGAGAAGTAGTGAGAGTTTTATTTAGGGAGGAAGAAGAGGCTTAAAGTCTCTTCTTATCTTTCTTATCTGCCTTTGAAGCCATTATAGCCTTTTCTTTCATGCCTCTCACCTTTGGGAATTACCTGCTTTGGGATGAAATAAAAAGGACAGCAATTCACACCTAACTATGTGCTTGGAGATCCTTATCCACCTCTTCCTCAGACATGGAGCCTAGCAGTGAAGGTTCTACGTGAGGATGTCTCCTGAGGGCACACACTGGAGTGTATGAGGGAGTGTACATGGTTGGAATAAAACTGACTTGTGGATAATCTGAGTCTCTGGCCAAGGATATTGCTCTGGGGTCACATAGCTATTTAGAGGATGGCCTTAGGTCAAGATAAGAACTATTAGGTGGTGATTAACATCCTAACTGTGGCCAATTTTGTTGTCTGCAGTTCCAATGGTGGCAGTAAGACTTCTCCTGCCCTTTGCCAGTGGTCTGAGGTGATGAACCACCCTGGCTTGGTGTGTTGTGTTCAGCAAACTACAGGTGTGCCACTCGTAGTCATGGTGAAACCAGACACTTTTCTTATCCAAGAGATTAAGACTCTTCCTGCTAAAGCAAAGGTCAGTGGTATATTCTCCCGTCACTTTGCTATGAACCCAGTCTTTGTTTATAGTTTTATATTTATGTCACTTTCCCACCTCTTTGAGTGGAGGCCTATAAAAGATTTTCTGGCCTTTTTCTTCTAGATGCCTTTTCTTTGCCACCCTTCAGCACCTCTGACTATGAAACCAGTTGCATCTCTCTCCCTTTATCGCTGTGGGTTCTGATCTACAGGTATGGGAACTAACACTTTTGTTCCCTCCTTCTAGATCCAAGACATGGTTGCCATTAGGCACACGGCCTGCAATGAGCAGCAGCGGACAACGATGATCTTGCTGTGTGAGGATGGCAGCCTCCGCATTTACATGGCCAACGTGGAGAACACCTCCTACTGGCTGCAACCATCCCTGCAGCCAAGCAGTGTCATCAGCATAATGAAACCTGTTCGAAAGCGCAAAACAGCTACAATCAGTAAGGCCCCTTCTCAGAAGACTTGTGGGGGAATGGGAATGGCAGTCTTCTAGACAGTGACTCAGAATATACTCTTGCAAATATCTTTAAAGAAATAGTGACTATCCTGCTTGCACATTTTGTAAAGTTAGAGGTATGTGCTAGCTTATTTCCCGACAGCAGAGTCACAGTTCCAAATGGCAAGTACCCATTGGCTGTCTACTTCAGGTCAGAGGTTCTTTGGTGCGTAGTAAGGAGTTATGTCTTGGGCCTTGTTTGAGAGATTTTTCTCTCTGGGTTTAGGGAATATGGCTTGCTGGCATAATGGAACTGATTGAAGTATAGATCCCTTGAGTTGGTTAATTTCCCACAGAGTAGTGAAGAATCCATCACAGGTCTCTGAGCTGGTGGTCTAGCACCTGACTAATAGAGGACTCTTCAGGGAAGTGAAAGTTTGAATTTAGCAATGAGTGAATCCAACTAAGCAAAGACCATTGCAGGGATCATTGCATCACCTTAAACTTGTAGATTTGAGATAATGGTATAGCTCATCCTATAAAGAAATAGTTTCTATTAATTTATTTTGAATAAACAGACTATAAAAGAGCCTTATTGTTATTAACTATAGACCTGACACCAACGCCAGATGTCTTTGTATTGCTGGGACATGTTGTGGTTAGGGATGATAACCACTGGAGAGCTAATCACATGTAGGCATCATGCTGATGCAAACATGATCATCCAGAATTTGCTTAGGAAGATTAGAGTGTGAGTGTGGGCTCAGTCTGAGAGGAGTCTTTCCCTGTGGTGTGGGAGCAGAGATGGTAGAGACCACACATACTGATGCTCTCTGGCAATCTGGTACCGTTCTCTGTAGCAACCCGCACGTCTAGTCAGGTGACTTTCCCCATTGACTTCTTTGAACACAACCAGCAGCTGACAGATGTGGAGTTTGGTGGTAATGACCTCCTGCAAGTCTACAATGCACAACAGATAAAACACCGGCTGAATTCCACTGGCATGTATGTGGCCAACACCAAGGTGAGGACTGTGCCGGGCAGGGGTCAATCCTTGGATAGAAGCACTTGTAAACAATCTGGTTTGAGAACACATCTCCTTTTAGAATGCAAGTATAAAGCATATACTCAAAGCCACTAATCCGTAAATCTAGTTAAATGGTCCCTTAAGTAAATGAATACTTTCCCTCACTTGCCAAAAGATTCCCATTCTATAGGCTGGGTTTCCACCAGTACTGGCAGGATTGCTGTGCAGAGGGCAACAGGAGGTTGTTAATGTTGGGGAGAAAAAGCCTGACATTGAAGAGAATCCACTCCCTTCCTCTGTTTTCCCATCTTTGGAAGCAAGGAAGTCATCATGGGGAGTGGTTAAAAGGATGAAGATCTTGACTAGGTTCACACATTGAGATAATATCAGAGGAAGGATTCAGACTTTGAACTTAGAACTTCTATTAGTTTTCTGATGTGTGCCTTATCTCCCTCCAGCCTGGTGGCTTCACCATTGAGATTAGTAACAACAACAGCACCATGGTGATGACAGGCATGCGGATCCAGATTGGGACTCAGGCAATTGAACGAGCCCCATCATATATTGAGATCTTCGGCAGAACTATGCAGCTTAACCTGAGTCGCTCACGCTGGTTTGACTTCCCCTTCACCAGAGAAGAAGCCCTGCAGGCTGATAAGAAGCTGAACCTCTTCAGTGAGTCACCAGCCCCTGGGCAGACTCAGTATGACTAAATTGGGTGCTGGTCTGTGGCTCTCCAGTACTTGGGAACTTCTCTGTAGTCTCTGTCATTAGGAAACTTTGAGCTTCATTTAAGCTATAAGAGGCAAGGAGTACACTTGAGAATGGAAGGGATAAAGATAGGGTAAAACTCTGTTGAGTATTCACTTCTGTAGTGTTGGGTCAGCCTCACTGATGAGGCTGCTGCTTTGTTGAGGCCAAGAGGAAGCAGGTTGGCATGTGAAATCCCAAGCCTTTCTTAAAGCACAGAGGAAAGCCTCAGGTCACAGGTGGCTGAGAGGTGGTTAGCAATACCGTGCTGTGCCGTTGAAAACTTCAAACCCTCAGAGTACAATTCCTTGAGCCTTTTTTAAACTGGCATCTCTTCTATCATTTACTGGCCATTGTGTGATATTATTTCTTCTGGGAACTAGTTGCTGTTAGTGTGAATGTGATGATCTGTACTTTGAACAAAGGAAGTGCTTAGAGACCCCTGGGGGTGAGGGTTGGATGCAATGCCCTCCTGAGCAGAGGAGGATCCTTACAGGGAAGGTTAGGGCCTCTTCTGAGTGGGAGAATTAATAGGTTTTTGGTCCATAGAACTGTTTCCACATGCATTCAACATCTACATGTGAGTAAAGTGCCGCTGAGGTTTCAGGAGGTAAAGTTCCTATATGTCTATAAAATAGATGTGATTTGCTTCTTTGCCCCAACTGGTCTGGTCTTGGCTTTGGAGAGATTATAGGAGTGCTTTAGAGAATGTGCTTCCTAAAGGCTTCTCTTACTTGTTGCAGTCGGGGCCTCAGTGGATCCAGCAGGTGTCACCATGATAGATGCTGTGAAAATTTATGGCAAGACTAAGGAGCAGTTTGGCTGGCCTGATGAGCCTCCAGAAGAATTTCCTTCTGCCTCCGTCAGCAACATCTGCCCTTCAAACTTGAACCAGAGCAACGGCACTGGAGAGAGCGACTCAGCTGCCCCTACTACGACCAGTGGAACTGTTTTGGAGAGGTACCAGTGCTGGCAGGGCTTGGCTGGCAGGGCTTGGCTTGTTACATTTTCCACTCTTGCTGTAGAACCTTCCTGTGTCTTGAGAGAGTCAGCCTTTAATAACCATTCCAAGTCTAGCCTGTGATTTTTAAGCTTTCATAAAACTCCATATTCAGTTTCTCCTTAGCATGTGGACAGAGCCTGAAAAACATGCTCAGAGTCACTTGACGCTGGTGTCTCTGCCTAGGCAGAAGTTTTGTCCCTTCTCTTAATGCTTAGGTAATTGGAGGCCACAGACAAAAAGGTATTTAAGCCAGTATTCTAGATTAGGATCCATCCTTGTGGAGATTATAGGAAACATTTTCCCTTCCATTCAGATCTCATCATCTTTTCATTTTTCTCTGCAATAGCTACTTCTGTGGTAATAACGTTGCCAGCAAGAGAGGCTGTCTGCTGCATCTTGTAGCAGAGTCCAGAGTCTCCCTAAATCTCCCTACAGTGGCATTCTTAAGCATTGTGCTTGGCTTCTTTGTGCTAGGTAGCTGCTGGTTTGCCATGGTAGATGAAATAATTCATGATGTAAGATTTTGAGTTTCTTACATTGTAAGTTATAAGAATAGCTTTGCTTGGAATCACTGCCTCCCACCAGCAGCCTCCCCCTTCCTCCTTTCTCTTTCTTTTTTTTTCCCTACCCTGTTCATACATGGTTTGCTTAGGATGTATTTCCAGGTATCTCTGAGCTTCACATTTTTTTCCTTTTTTTTTCTTTGCTTCTTCCCCAAGTTCTGAAACTGAGTCCCTAACCAAGCTGGACCGGTTAGTATGCCCTCTTTCTTTTTCTCTGCACGAGTGAGTGTGTGTCAGAGAGCAGTGTAACCAATGGTGTGGCTTTGCGTTGATTCTGCTTCTGTTTAAGAGTCCTCCTGCTTCTTTCTGTTGTGGTCATTGCATGGCTACAGAGCTGTCCATGTGTAAAAATGGAGTATATGGAGGACTGTAAGTGCACACTTGATGTTGGCCGCATCAGGCGCTGTCTTGGATCTCTCTTCCTTACCTCAGTCCTCTCTGCTCCCCATCTGTAGTGGATTAGAAGGGGGTTGGGGGTGGAGGAATTAACAACAAAGTCCTACCATCTGATAAGCCACCAGAGTGCTTGTTCTGCCCAAATTTGTTTTATGCCTCAGTTTCCTCTCCCTAGTTCTTTACTGCCTTCGTCTGCCCCTTAACCCCTTTTTCTCCAGCTGCCTTCTCAATGCTTTTCTTTCTCTATCCAGAGCTTCAGCTATCAGGATGTTGTTCTTTTTACTATACCACATTAAACTCAAAGGAGTAAGCTCTGGGGAACATGTTACCTGGTACCCTTCAATAGTTGAGTTTCCTGTTCCTTTCCTAAGGGAGAAATTGCTCAGTTTTCTAAAGATGCTTTGTACTACCTCTCGAATGTTGACAATTGGCATGCACCTAAAAATACAGTTTTTTTCTCTACCCAATACTTAGGGCCTCATAGGAAATGCATTTGTGCATTTCTTGGAGATATAAGTAAAATATAACCTTAACCTTCGTAGTGTAAGAAGATGGCTTTAACCTTTCCCTTTGTGTATCCCTTTGCCCACTGATCTCTGGGCACCTGAGCTTTGGGTCCCACTGCATCAAGTCTGTTAAGCCCATCTCAGTGATCCCTGCCACAGGCAGCAGAAGGAAGCACATTTATCCTCTTTGAGGAAGAAAAGCCCTGTCTTTGAGTTACGGATTATGAACATGGCCTCAGGTTGATCTCCGAGCAGAAGCCAGGTTTCTCCTGGCCTGTAATGCAGGAAACGATATGCATGGTGCCTGTGGCAGGTCTTATTGTGCTTTGATTTTGTATTTGGCATTCATTAGCTGTCCCCAAGGTCCTCATGACTGTAGTTTGCTTAGGCTAAAGCACAAGGCAACGAGAACGATGCTTGTACTCAAGCCAGGTTTTCTGTCTCCTCAGGCTGGTTGTGAGTTCTTTAGAAGCCTTGGAAAGCTGCTTTGCTGTTGGCCCAATCATCGAGAAGGCAAGTTACTTTTTCAAAGCACATGGAAGCTTTCTGAAGAGGCAGGAAGTCAGTGGAGTTGTCTGCGGCCCTGAGGCCTCACAGCTAAAGAACATTTATAGCATAATCTTGATTTGCAAAGAAACTCCAGAGAAGTCTTCAGCTTAAAGCCTATGTCCTAATTTGCAGGCCCATAGTGAGAGTGTGTTGTAGGATAGGATGAGTGCTGGTACAAGAGCACCATTCTGGGAGTCATGAGCTTGGATTCCATTTCTTTACCTATATGGTTGGAAGATTATAATTTTTGAAACTTTTGTTTTGCTCTTTTTAGTCCATGGAGTATAACCTAGCCCTGGTGGCTAGAAGGAAGGGAGGGGGAAACAGAATGTAGATAGTTCATTCTGCCATGAGTTAGTGATAACCCAGCTGTCTGTTGCATCAGGAGAGAAACAAGAATGCAGCTCAGGAGCTGGCCACTCTGCTGCTGTCCCTGCCAGCACCCGCCAGTGTCCAACAGCAGTCCAAGAGCCTCCTGGCCAGCCTGCACACCAGCCGCTCGGCCTACCACAGCCACAAGGTAACCGCTCCCTCTCAGGGATGCCTGTGTAGAAACGGAAGTTGTCCTGACAGGGAATCAAGTAAGTGGGCTTTTTATGTGTAAAGCAAGGGCACAGCAAAAATGGCGTTGAGATTAAACCCAAAGCATCTAAAGTTTCTTCTGAGAAATTTGTGACTACCACTCAAAACTGAGGATAAGCCGGCTAGTGGGCCACTGGTTTGTACTTATTTTTCTGTCACTCTAACAGGATCAGCAAGACTTAAGAAAGAGAGGGAGGGACATTGAGCATGGGTGGCTTCTCAGTGGAGAAGAGTGAGGTTAGGGATCCCTCAGGAGGTAAGGGCTGCTGGGTATCTTTACTCCCCTGCCTGGTGCGGAAGGTGTGCTGTACTTATTGGCGAGACAGTTGTGGGATAGTTGTTGGGGAGTCTCTGAAGGGAAAGAAAGGCCTCACCTGTAAAAGAATATAGGTTGGGCCAATTTCCATAGATGGAAAGATGACAGTTCAGATCCATGAGGAAGAAGGGCTCTGAGAGAAGCTACCAGCCCAGAAGCCACAGTTAGCTTTTGTGCCTCCAACCCAGAGAATTGAGAAATGTGAGTTTAACCTGCTGAACCTCTTAAGGAAAGGCAATTTTGGAAACATAATTCTTGGATAATATGAATTTGCTAAGAAATGACACTTGTACTATTGGAAAGAGATCTGGGATGTTGCTGTTCTGGAGAATTAGGGTAATTTCTGCTTTTATTGTCATACTTTGATTCTTTTTTTTTGGCATATTATGGGGGTACAGATTTTAAGGTTTCAATAAATGCCCATTTCCCCCCCTCCCCCCAAAAGTCTGAGTCTCCATCATGACCATCCCCCAGATGGTGCACATCTCACTCATTATGTATGTATATACCCGCCCTCCTCCCCCCATACTTTGATTCTTATTGCATGGTTTCTTAATTTTTTTAGTGACTTTAATATCTTATATATTAAGAAACTTAAATATATTGGGCTGCTTTGAAGGTGTGGTAATTAACCTGTTCTCCTGAGAGAAGGTAACAATCCTGACCATCTATCAGGTTTCCTCTAGTCTTTGCTTTTATATCAGCCCTTGTTTATCATTGATCCTCTGTGATCTTGTTGTTTTACTAGGATCAGGCCTTGCTGAGCAAAGCCGTGCAGTGTCTCAACACATCCAGCAAAGAAGGCAAGGATTTGGACCCCGAGGTGTTCCAGAGGCTGGTTATCACAGCTCGCTCCATTGCCATCATGCGCCCTAACAACCTTGTCCACTTTACGGAGTCAAAGCTGCCCCAGATGGAAACAGGTGAACTTGGCCTATGTGGCCGTGGTCCTGAAATCTGCTTAATACACCTTTACCCTCTCATCCTACTGTTCTCACTGGCCTCTGACTGACTTCATGCTTGGAGATAGGATTTTACTCCCTGGTCTTTGTACCTTGTAGGGCTTTTAACATTAGGATTATACCATTTTAAATAGAATCCCTTTCCAGTGCTTATCCCTTTATTATCCTTGGGTTTATTTAGTATTTTAGATGTGAGGTATAATCTGTCTCTGAAGTAACCACCTCTTATGATCTTCAGGGTATAGCTAAGCTCAGTTGAGCCCTGCTTGCTTTAAAGCAGTTGGGTCATATCTTTTGCTTTCATGCTGTTCTTTTGCCAGTATTTTATTATTATGTGCAGTGGCCTTTCTCAGTGCTTGGTGCTGTTTCCTCATATTTTCCTCATGTTGGCTGGGTAACAAACCTATTTTGCTAATGTCAAATAGAGTTTATTGCTGCCTTTATGATTCTCTGTTATTTACATGCTTCCATATGCCATCATCATCCTATTCCTCTTTCTAATACTGCAATCCCAGAATCATTCTAGAGAAATCTCTAGAATGTTCAGATGTTCCTCTAGGTTTTAGAAGTTGAACATTTGGAATTGAGGTCTTTGAATCTGCTGTAAACATCCTGAATGCTCCACCTTCTACTTAATTCTAACATACAGTGTTTTCTGTGATATTCCTTTCCCAGACTGTTTTTTTCCTAGATGTGCCTGCTGGAGTCTAGGGATAGTTGGCATATTGACTGGGGCCCCACTTGAAACTCCCTCCCCAGGCAAGCTTCCTTGACCTGAGTTAACCTTAAAACAAATTAAATTCCATCTCAGATGTACCATCGTTAATAATTTTCTTTCTCCTTCTTAGAAGGAGTGGATGAGGGGAAAGAACCACAGAAGCAGTTGGAAGGAGATTGCTGTAGTTTCATCACCCAGCTCATGAACCACTTCTGGAAACTCCATGCATCCAAACCCAAGAATGCCTTCCTAGCACCTGCCTGCCTGCCAGGTATTACATTAAAAGGGGTGCTTGAATCTTGATATATAGTGAAACATGATGTAAGTTATGTCTTTGAACAGCTATGACCCTGAGCTTTTAGCTTTCATCCTTTATCATCTATTTCTTCTAGAAGTTATAATTGGAAAATAGAAATCTGTGAGTTGAGTGCATTGTTCTTGATACAGGAATTTAGCAGAGTGGGAGAGTGTGGGATTTACTTGTCAGTATCTCTTCATGTAGGGTTGAATAGTTTACATAAAGAGACACTTTATGAATGCGTGTGTGTCCTTTGTGGTATTTATAATTGTTTTAAAAAGTCTTTCAAAGCCAGCTCAAAAGGTAAAGGTTAGCCGGGGTGCAGTGTCTCACACCTATAATCCCAGCATTTTGGGAGGTCAAGACAGGAGAATTGCTTGAGGTTAGGAGTTTGAGACTAGTCGAGCAGCAGAGCAAGACCCTGTCTCTTCAAAAAAATGGAAAAAAATTAGCTGGGCATGATGGCAGGCACCTATAATCCTGGCTACTTAGGAAGCTGAGGCAGGAGGACTGCCTGAGCCCAGGAGTTCAAGGTTTCAGTAAACTATGATTAGGCCACTGTACTCCAGTCTGGGTGACAGAACAGGACACCATATCCAAAAAAGAAAAGAAAAAAAAGAAAAAAAGATAAAAGGTAAGAATTAAGCATCAGCCTTGAGAATTATTTGATTTCCAAACTACTGTTGCTATCGTATCTAACTTTTCACACTAATAAAAGTTCAGGTGGAAGGGTAAGAATCTGCATAGTAATATAGAAAGGTGGAAATATCCTGGTATTCATTCGCATGTGGAGGTTACTTGGGCAGTAAGCCTAAAAGATGTGTCAAGGTGGTGTTTTGTCATTGCCTAAGGTTTGGGGATAGTAGGAGACAGCTGGTATCTGTCTACCTCTTCATATTTCCCTTCCTTGTCTTTTGATATCCACAGAGGGTGAATAGCTACTTATTTCTGTAATGCAGGAGATCTGGAAAGACCTTTGAGGGCAATTTGGAAGATTAGGAGACCATTAATAAAACAAATCACAAATTGCAGACAAGCTACATTCCCTTGTGTGTGTGTGTGACAAACTATAGTGTGTGTGTGCATGCTTTGCTATGTGTGTGGTGGTCACTTTTATTAGCTTGACCTTTACATAGGGATAAGAATTTGTACTTTTGTCTCAGGCTCTCAAGTAGCTAGAGATTTTCCCACCAGATTTTCACATAATATTTTTCTCCCCTTTAGGCCTAACTCATATTGAAGCTACCGTCAATGCTCTGGTAGACATTATCCATGGCTACTGTACCTGCGAGCTGGATTGTATTAACACAGCCTCCAAGATCTACATGCAGATGCTGTTGTGCCCTGTACGTATCATTACAACTCCAGATATCTCTCATCAGCCTGTGAGTTCGCTAAACTAATGAAATAAAATAGGCCTAAAGGAAGCTGATGGGAATTAAGAGTTTCAAATATCAATAAAAACTTTAAGATCTTTCTCTGTTGAAGAGAAAGTTTTGAAAAGGGGATGGATTTAGTCATTTTTGTTCAGTGCTGAATCCTCAGGAACTAGCCTGATACTTGCTACATAGTGCCAAGTAACTCATTGAAGTGTTATTTAAATGAGTATGTGAATGAATGTAGTACATCAAGGTTTCTATTTCTAGTGACCCTGTCACAGAAGCTATATGTTAGAAGTACTGATTTTAGCACAGAGCTAGGATGTGCACTGGGGGCCTGATCATCTGATGAAAAGCCAAAACCATTTGTAGAGGGCCAGAGTGGCTTCAGGAGCAAATGACCTGACAGTCTATCACCAGGAACCGAGAGACAAGAAGGAAGTAAATGGGTCTTATATGTGCCAGGTCAGGAAGTGGGTATTAAGTTAATCTGCTGAACTTGGTTGGCTGGGGTGCAGGTGAGAGTAGACAGATTTCCCCATGCACATGAGTGATTGACTGAAAAAGGAAAGTGTTTTATATAGATAATTTTATGAATAATTTAAGACCTAAGCATGACAGTTTCCTTTTAAACCACAGGATCCTGCTGTGAGCTTCTCTTGTAAACAAGCTTTAATTCGCGTCCTAAGGCCCAGGAACAAACGGAGACATGTGACTTTGCCCTCTTCCCCTCGAAGCAACACTCCAATGGGTAATGTGAGGTCTGGGTTTAGGCTTGAGTCTCTAGGGGGGCGGAGACGGGGGCGGAGGTGGTGGGTAGGGAAGGGAGGCACAGCAGTAGGATATACTGCTCACATTGACTGAGGTCCTGCAGACTTTGTTCGTATATCTTTGTTTTCACCCTACCTTATTTTATAAATAATGTAAGGCACATCAAAATGCATAAAGTAAATAGAATAAAAGTAAAGAAAATCAAGGCCTTGGGAAAATAAAATTGCCATAATAAAATCAAGCCAGGGATACAGAAAATCTACTATATCACAAGACCTTGTAAGGTTTTTAAGTGAAGATCTTATATTTGGCTGAAAGCTTCCTAGGAGCCATAGCAAAAATAAAATAAGAACAGTTACAAAAATCACAGTGACCAAAGACAAAACATACCCATTTTTCAGGCACAGAAAGCTCTTGATTAAGGGTCTGTTTTGTTACTGAAGAGTCAGAATCCTCAGTGGACTTACCTGCAATAAGTGTGATAGCAAATTTCACAGGAATTTCCCTCATGATATACTTGGACATAGTCAAGGGCATAACATTTTACATTTTAGTAAAAGCAATTCTATAAGGTATCTAAATAGCGGCCTTACATAACTCTGGTTACTTGGTTTGATTCAGGGGTAAATTTCAAATGAAAGTCACATATGTAAATTTAAACTTTCTAATAGTCACATTACAAAAAGTAAAAAACAAATGAAGTTAATTTACCAACAGTTTATTTAATCCAGTGTATGAAAAATGTTATTTCAATATATAGTCAATATAAAAAGTTATTAGTGAAATATTTTGCATTTTTTGGTACTACCTTCAAAATCCAGAGTGTATTTTACAGTCATGGCACATCTCCTTTGTACTAGCTACATCTTAAGTGTTCAGTAGCCACATGTGGCTAGTGGCTACTGTATGGGACAATGCAGGGATAGAGGAATATATACAACTGTGACTTTCAGACAGTCTTCCTCAAATATCATTTATCTTACCTAAGCTTTTGATAAGTTAGGCAATAGTTTGTGGCTCTTTTCTCTGGCATGAACCTAGAGTGGAGATAGTTTATGTTTCTAATGAAGGACATATTTACATGCTTTAACAGTCCATCGAGTGGAAGACAAGGTCTCTCTCCTCTTCTGACTATTAGGAATCTCACCTAGACTCTTCCTTATTAGAAATAGAAAGCCTTCCCACCTTCACATAGAAGTGGGCCCAGACAGGACCTTTGTGCTGTCCTTGATTTCCATTCGATGGTTTTGTACTTCAATTCTGGTTCTTCTCATTATGATTATGTAGTGTGAAAAATCTCACTGACCAAGTTGTTTTTGAAAAAAGTAGTGAAATGAATTCTAAGCTGCCATGGCAGATAAAAGATAAACATCTCAATTGTATTGTTTTTCCTGTCTTTCAAGGTCTCCTGTGAATTGGTGGGAGCTGTGGGGCCTACTGGTTTTACATTTTTCTGCTTTATGGAAATCCCTTTGGAATCCAGGGTTTTTTCCCACCCCCTTTGCCAGCTGGAAAAGTCTATTCCTCTGGGGGGCCAGCTGTCACTGCCAGCCCTATCTTCCCAGATCCTGCTAGGTCCAAGAAGCAAGAGAACAAGACCAGGCATAGTACCCTGGAGTTTTATCTTTAAAGCCCAGGGTGCTAACTGGTAGCTTGTCTTGGGTTTTTGTTGCTACATGACTTATCATACCATATGCCAAGGGAGGAAAACAAGCACCTTTAGGTGACTGGGGTTTCTTTGACTCAGGAGACAAGGATGATGATGACGATGATGATGCAGATGAGAAAATGCAGTCATCAGGGATCCCGAATGGTGGTCACATTCGTCAGGAAAGCCAGGAACAGAGTGAGGTGGACCATGGAGATTTTGAGATGGTGGTGAGTCTCTGGCAGCAGGAGAAGGGGAGGAGGAGCTTCAAAACTCTCCTCTAGCTCTTATTCAGTGGACTTCCAAAAGTTACCATTTACCATGGGACACTGACAGAGCTTTCTCTCTGCAGTCTGAGTCGATGGTCCTGGAGACAGCTGAAAATGTCAACAATGGCAACCCCTCTCCCCTGGAGGCCCTGCTGGCAGGCGCAGAGGGCTTCCCTCCCATGCTGGACATCCCGCCTGATGCAGATGACGAGACCATGGTTGAACTAGCCATTGCCCTGAGCCTGCAGCAGGACCAACAAGGTAGAAGGCAATGCCAGGAACAAAGTGGCCCATTGGCCTTGCACAGGAAAGAGGGTTTGGCAGTTACTGATATCCAGCTGACTTAGCTTGTCCCCACATTTGGGGAGAGGTTGATCTGGGTGAGAGCTGTTCAGAGATACAGGTGGAGAGTGAGAGGGGTTGTGGTGGGAATTTCAGTCTGGGAGCCAATCTCATGGTTTCTGCTAGTTTGGTTTTTTGGATTATTTCTTCCCGAATCTGTTAGATTCCTCCAGCCTGTGTCCTGCCTGAGCTGAAGGAAGCATTCCACCATCTCTATAACTGAATTTGGTGGGTGGACAGCAGTGGCTGTTGGTTACCTTCCTCTAGGCCAGAGGGGTCACATGCTGGTGTTTAGAGACTACTGAGGGCAGCAGGTGGCCAAAGCAGTGCTGTGGATGGGGTCTGGAGGGGATGTTGTGCTCACTCTCCACTTGTTTCCCAGGCAGCAGCAGCAGTGCCCTGGGCCTGCAGAGCCTGGGACTGTCCGGCCAGGCACCCAGCTCTTCCTCTCTGGACGCAGGAACCCTCTCTGACACCACAGCATCAGGTAACTGTCCACAGCAAGGAGCACGGCTCAGGGCCCCAGGACCCTCAGGCCTTGTTTCCACTGCTGTGAGAGTGTAATGGGCAGCTGCTTTGACAGGCCATTCTGGACTTCCTGCTTCTGCCTTGGCTTTAGAAATATGGGTGTGGAAGACATAGTGGATACAGCTTGGCAACGGTGCTCGTGGCTCTGCTTCCTTACACCTTGCATGCTGCCTGGCTTTAGCTAATTTCCCAAGGAAGGGCTGAGAGAGCAGTGTGCAGGCTGATTGGCGATAGGGCTTAAATTATGGCCTTCAGTGTTCTTTGTCAGAGTTCTAACGTTTTGGATAATATTAAAAGGGAGACGAGAAATAGAGCTTATACTTTTTAAACTTTTCTCTTTTCGCTAGCAAATAAAAGTGAAGCTACAAGCTGGATTGTGCTTCAGAATTCTTGATCAGTATGGACAACCATCAGGGATCTATGAACTTGAGAGATAGGGTTTTTGTGGACGATTAAAATCCATAGGAAATCTTCAAAACTTATTTTGACTTTACTTTCACTCTTTTCCCTGCTCAAACAATTCTTTCCTGAATGGAGAGTTGGACTAAATGGAAATACCTGATCAACCCCCAAGTAATTTAAAGGTTGATTTATAGTGTTTCGGACTGATGCTTCCCTATATTTGTTTTTTTCTTTTGGGAATTTTACCCTGGATAGATAAGAAAGGGAGAAATTGGCTGTTCCTACCTGCTGCCATGGCTTGTTGCTTTTCTTAGGTCTCTTCAGTTGCTGTCATTTCAGGCTTCGAGGTTGCTGTCATGTTGTGCCAATTGTGTTCCTGTGCTCTGTGGCTGTCTTGGCTTTCCTACCCCATGTATCTCATCCAGCATTTTCCTCCTGTCTCAGCTCAGCCCTGATCCTGGATGCTGTGGCTGTCTCTGGGGAATTTCCTTGCTTCATTATTAGCATCTGATGAGATCGATTAGGAGGTGTGAAATTTCCCAGTGAGCTCCCCTTTGGACCACTTGCTAGAAAAAACCAAAATGGGGTTGGTTCAAGAGCTCAGGCTAAGTGATTTCCTACATAAGCACCAATTGACTGATCACAAAACAAATCCAATTAAAATTCAGAGTTCTAAGCTTTGAATGGTAATGGCTAGTTTCAGATCTCTCAGCAGGTGTCAGTAACACCTAAAACAATGGTGACCATGAAGAATTTTTGCTAGAAAACTCAGCGTCCATGTCACAGATTCTTACTGAATCTCTGCACTGTTCTACTTGCACTGTAACGTAACAGCGAAGGAAATGCCCAGTGAACTGGGTTTTCTTCACTTCTGTCTAAGTACTGTTTGCAATGCACTGTGTATAGTGTTTGTTCCTCTTAGCGATTAACCAGCGAAGCAAATCTTTCCCTTTTTTCTTTGACGACAGGATATATAAACTGCATTGTGTTCTCTGCACTATGTGGTTTGATGCTTTCACTCCAAGGAGGGTTTTTACCTGTAACAGCTCTCGTTACTCTCTCAGCTCCAGCCTCAGACGACGAGGGCAGCACAGCAGCGACTGATGGTTCTACCCTTCGGACCTCTCCTGCTGACCACGGTGGTAGTGTGGGCTCGGAGAGCGGGGGAAGTGCAGTGGACTCAGTGGCTGGCGAGCACAGTGGTAATGTGCCTGGGGGTCCTGTCTCCTTGGGCAGAGGGTGGGGACAACGGAGGTCCTGGGATTGCTTTTGCAAAGAGAAGTTGTGGGGAATCATTGAAAATCTTATGGAATTCATTTGACTTCAACCCTGGAGTTTCAAATGATTAGTAATAATGGCTTATGCTCAGTGAGGTTAGTATTGAAATATTTATAGGTTGCTTTTAATTATCTATTAGTGGGAGAAAAGCAGCGACCTGCATAATTCCAAATTGTGCTTAATCTAAAGCAATTATGGCGTGACCTTGAAACACGTTATCCTCCAGTTTTTGCTCATTTAATGGGGGAAGACATTTTTGGGGTCAATCCTGTTGTTAATGATCTGATTTGTTAACATAGCAGGCCGTCTCCACAGTATACTAGATGGATGAAGGTGAGGCTCTAGAATGAGGGAGCATGACATTTCAGTGTCACCTTGTAAATCAATCTGTGGTTAACGATTGGATATGGACAATTTTTATGGAGGAGATTAAGAGCAGCTGATAATTTCTAGATTCCCATGTCAGTGTATGTTTCCTGTGAAGTATGAGATTGAAATTTATCAGCATCTGAGATTAAGATTGTTCCTGTAGGTGGGTCTCATGTATAGGGAAAGGTAAATGGCTGTCACGAGAATGATTTAATGTAGTGCTGTGGGACTTTATTTAACTTCATATAGAAGAAAAAATTTTCTCATGCTAATAGTTATCCTCTAACCATTGCTGACTTCAGAATGCATTGGGTTCAATTATGCTTTGGGAGTTGATTTGTGCTTTTATAATTGTTTCCCTCTAGTATCTGGCCGGAGCAGTGCTTATGGCGATGCCACAGCTGAGGGGCATCCAGTTGGACCAGGAAGTGTCAGCTCAAGCACTGGCGCTATCAGCACCACCACTGGGCACCAGGAAGGAGACGGCTCGGAGGGAGAAGGAGAAGGGGAAGCTGAAGGAGATGTCCACACTAGCAACAGGTCAGGACCTACTCACTCACAGTTAAGAGGCTTGCCTGTCTGAGAATAGTTCAGGAATAGCAGGATTGATTAGTTGTAGGAGATGGAGTGGTGATACCAATATATTTCTTTTGAAATGTAAAGGCAATAAACTCATGAAACAGTTTAAAATCTTAGAAAGTGTTTTGGATCTGTTGCGTTTGTCCTATTAGAATTATATCAAATCAATTACAGAGAATAGAAAATGGTCTTTATCTTAAGGCTCACCTAAATTCTTTAGTAACTGTGAAGTGATTGTTGTAAAAATATGTATCTTCCTTACTCAAATCTTTCTTGTTTCATCAATACCCATAAGTTCACTGCGTAGCACATTCCTTTTTTTTGCTTCTTCCCTGTTCCTTTCACAGTAGCATACTCTTTATAAATGGTTCTGTTCGAGGCAGCAGTGATGGTTATTAGGTATATAATACTAGAAATGGCTCCTTGTTCAGCATCTTTATAAGATAAAGGAAAAATATGACAGAGCAAATACATGTTTATGGCTAGAAATAGCAATGGTAGAGCATTTTGAAATCAAAAGTAATCTATAAAATCTTAATCCATCCATCTCAAGTAATTGTGGTGGTATTTGGTAATAGATTGGTGGAGTGAATAACACTTGTGATATAATGTTTGTTGAATTTGTTGAGGCCGATAGTTATCACATTAGTGCAAAAATAGTGAGTTAGAATTTTGCACTGAATGGTTTCTATCAGGGAAAAAAACACGTGTCAGGCATCAGAAACATTTGAAAAGGGCAATAAGGAGTGGGTCCCCCACATCCCCCATATCTCCCATATCCTACTGCTTGAACATAAACCACTTGCAACATTCCTTTGGATGACCTCTGCTTTTGTTAACTGATGATATTTTGATGGAGTTTGTTTTTTAACTTCCTAACATAAAGGGATTTTCTTCTTAATTTTTAAAAGTTTTCTTAATGTAATTTCTAGGTTAATTCCATTGTGTTTAGATAATGTGGTCTGTGTGATTTCTGTTTTTTAGATATTTTGCTTAAAATATTTTTAAATCCAGTCTGTCTTTAACTTTCAATTCAAACACTTGAGTTCATTTATAAGTAATGCTAATTACTGATGTATTTATATCTGTCATTTACTTTGCGCTTTTTTTTTCTGCCTGTTTTTGTTTTTCTTTCCTTTGTGGCCTTCTTTTGGATTGATTTGCTATTTTTTTCATTCTTTCTTCTTCCCCTAACTATATGAGTTTGGAGATTGTTCACTCTGTTTCTAACCTTTTTAGCAGTTATACTATTCATTTTAACATGTATACTGAGCCTATCCAAAACTAGATTTAACTAATAGCTATATCTTCTTCCAGAATAATATGAGGACCTTAGAAGACTTTACCTCTTCTTATCAATATAAACTATCATTTTGGTGTGTTTTAATTTTTTTTTTATGTATTTTTAAAGCCCTCAAGATATTATTGCTGTTGTATATAGTTTATATGGTCAGTGTTTGTTTAGCTTTACTCACATGTTCACCACTTTCTGTGCCCAACATTTCTTTGTGCATCTCAGACCTTCCATCTAGGATCATTTTTCTTTCTGAATTATGTAATTTAGATTTTCCTTTAGGGAGGTCTGCTGGTTACAATATCTCAGATGTTTTGGTCTGAAAATGTCTTTATTTAACTTTTATTTGTAGATGTGTTTTTGATGAATGTAAAATTTTATATTGATAGTCCCACATCCCCACCCCCAAAATTGAAAATTGTATTCTATTGTTTTCTGGTTTTTGTTATTTCCAATAAGAAATCACTTGCTGTTACAATGGTTGTTCCTTTGAAAGTAATATCTTGACTGCTGCTTTTAGAATCTTGATTTTGTCATTCTTTTTGTAGTTTTACTAGGATATGTTTAGGGTGGATTTCTCCTTTTGGGTGGGGGTTGGGGCTTAAAACAACAGAAATTTATTGTTTCACAGTTCTGGAGGCTAAAAGTCCAAAGTCAAGATGTTGACAGGGCCATGTTCCCTCCGAACCCTGAAGGGGAACCCTGCCTGCTGCTTCTTAGCTTCTGGGGATTTGCCAGCAATACTTGGACTTCCCTGGACTGCAGCTGCAGCACTTCAGTCTCTGCCTACATTGTCACATGGGCTTCTCTCCTCTTATGTCTGTGTCTCTTCTCTCATTTTTTAAATTTTATTTTTTAAAATTTCAATAAAGTCAGTGGTTATAAGTGAGTTTTATTATGTGGATATATTGTGTAGTGGTGGAGTCTGGGCTTTTATTGTACCCATCACCAGAATAGTGTTCATTATATCTAAAGTATATTTCATACCTCAACCTCTTCCCACCCTCCCTGTCAAAGTCTCCAGTATCTTTAATAACACTTTGTATGACTATGTGTAGCCATAGCTTAGCTCCCACTTATAAGTGAGAACATGTGGTATTTGATTTTCTGTTCCTGAGTTACTTTATTAAGAAATAGTCCTTCCAGGCCAGGGCGGTGCTCATGCCTGTAATCCTAGCACTCTGGGGCGGAGTGGGGGGATGGCGTCAGAGCAGGAGTTGAAACCAGCCTGAGCAAGAGCGGAGACCGCCGCTCTACTAAAAATAGAAAGAAATTAATTGCCAACTATATATATTAGAAAAAAATTAGCCGGACATGGGGTGCATGCCTGTAGTCCCAGCACTCGGAGGCTGAGGCAGCAGGATCGCTTGAGCCCAGGAGTTTGAGGTTGCTGTGAGCTAGGCTGATGCTACAGCACTCACTCTAGCCTGGGCAACAAAGTGAGACTCTTCTCAAAAAAAAAAAAAGAGTCTCCAGTTCCATCCAACTTGCTGCAAAAGAAATTATTTTGTTCTTTTTTTTTCTGGCTGAGTAGTATTCTGTAATATATCCATACCACATTTTCTTTATCCACTCATCAGTTGATGGGTACTTAGATTGATTTCATAATTTTGTGATTGTGAATTGGGCTGTGATAAACATACAGGTGCAGGTATCTTTTTGATATAATGACGTCTTTTCCTTTGGGTAGATGCCCAGTAGTGGGATTGAGGGATCAAATGGCAGATCTACTTTTAGTTCTTTGAGAAAGAATCTCCATGCTGATTTCCATAGAGGTTGTACTAATTTATATTCTCACCAGCAGTGTATAAGTGCTATCTTTTCACCACATCCATGTCAATATCTATTGTTTTTTGACTTTTTGTTTTATATTTTTTCTTTTATTTTGTTCTCTGTTTTTCTCTTTTTTTTTTCTTGTTTTTTGACTTTTTAATAATGGCCTTTCTGATTGGAGTAAAATGGTATCTCATTATAATTTTAATTTGCATTTCTCTGATGATTAATGATGTTGAGCATCTCTTCATGTGTTTATTGGCCATTTGTATATCTTCTGAAACATGCCTGTTCATGTCATTTGCCTACTTTGTAATGGGGTTGTTTATTTTTTCCTGCTGAGCTGTTTCAGTTTCTTGTAGGTCTTTTGTCAGATGTATAGTTTGTGAATATTTCCTCCCATTCCATGGGTTATCTGTTTACTCTGTTCATTGTTTCTTTTGCTGTGCAGAAGCCTTTTAGTTTAAGTCTCATTTGTTTATTTTTGTTTTTATTGTATTTATTTTTAGGGTCTTAGTCATAAATTCTTTGCTAAGCCAATGTCCAGAAGAGTTTTTCTTAGGTTTTCTTACTACTTTGGTCTAAAAACTTTTTTATTGCTAGTAAGCTCATTATTCCTTTTATTTTGACTTTGTAACCAGTGATTTTTCAAAATCCACTTATTTCTAATTATAGATTCTGGTGGATTTTCTGCAATACACACAGTCTTGCCACCTGCAAATAATGAGAGTTTAACTTTTTTTGTTCCAATCTTTATACCTTTTAATTTACTTTTCTTGCCTTATTGCATTAGCTTGGACTTCTAGTACATTGTTGAAAGAAGTGGTAATTGTGAACATTGTTATCTCATTCCCAAACTCAGGGGAAAGAGACTCAATATTTTACCATTTAGTATGATGTTAGTTTGAGGGTTTTTTATGGATATTCTTTATCAAGTTAAGGAAATTTTGTTCCTAGTTTGTTGGGAGATTTTTCTCTTATAAATGGGTTTTTGATGCTTTCAAGTTGTCTTTGTTTCATGTATTGAATTGCTTATATGGTTTTTCTCTTTTATTCCCTTTAAGGTTATAAATTACATTGATTTTTTTATTATTATCATTAATCCTACCTGGTGGGTATACTTGGTCATGATGTGTTATCTTGATTTGCTAATATTTTGTTTAGGACTGTAATTTTCCTTTGAGATATCTTTGTCGGGGATTGGTATTCACATTATTCTGGCCCCGTAAAATAAGTCAGGGTATATTCCTCTTTTCTCTGGAAGAGTTTGTGTTAAGATTGGTATTATTTCTTCTGTAAATTCTAGGAGAAATTTACCAGTGAAGTCATCTGAGTCTAGATTTTTTTAAGGGAAGATTTTAAATTATAGATTAATTTTTTAAATTATAGAGAATTATTTCTATTTCTTTATATTTCAATTTTTCATTGTGTTTACAAGGAATTTGTTCATTTTGTCAATTTTATTGGCACAAGCTTATTCATAATAATTTTTTATAATCTTTCTGATATTGGTAATTCAAGTCTTTAATGTGATGTACTTTTTTTCATTTTTAATATTGGTAACTTAAGTTCTTGCTCTTTAACATCAGTCTTGTCTGGGAGTTATCAACTTTACAAAGAACTGGCTTTTGGCTTTGATTTTTCTCTGTTGTGTGTCTCCTTTCTATTTTATTATTGCCTTTCTTTTGCTTACTTTTTTTAAAATTTAATTTTCTGTTCTGTTTCTTCACGAGATGAAAGATTAAATCATTGAATTTTTTTTTTTTTTTTCTCCCTGTGACTGGGTCTCACTCTGTCACCCAGGCTAGACTGCAGTGGCTAGATCATAGCTCACTGTAACCTCAAACTCCTAGACTGAAGGGATCCTCCTCTTTCAGTCTCCCTAGTAGCTGGGGCTACAGGCATGTGCCAGCATGCCCAGCTAATTTTCCTATTTTTTGTAGAGACAGGGTCTTGCTCTTGCTCAGGCTAGTCTTGAACTCCTGGGCTCAAGTGATCTTCCTGCTTCGGCCTCCCAAAGTGCTACGATTACAGGTGTGAGACACCATGCCCAGCCAAGTCATTGATTTTAAACCTAGTTTTAAAATATATATTTGGGCCAGGTGTGGGTGGCTCATGCCTATAATCCTAGCACTTTGGGTAGCTGAGATGGGAGGATTTCTTAAGGTCAGAAGTTTGAGACTAGTCTGAACAAGAGTGAGACCCCATCTTTTTTGAATAAAAATAAAATAAAAATTAAAAATGCATATTTGAAGATGTATATTTTTCTCTAAAATTCTCTCTTAATCTTGCTTTAGCTGAGGCCTACATATTATGATAGTGTTGTATATTCCTTACTGTTCAATTCAAACTGTTTTCTAAATTCTGTTGTAATTCAGTCTTTGGCCCATAGGATATTTAGAAGTATGTTACTAAATTTCCAAATGTTTGGAGATTTTCTACTTATCTGTTTGTTTTTGATTTATATTTTAATTTTATTGTTGTTGGGGAACATACTATGTGATTTCAGTCCTTTGAAATTTCTGGAGATACGTCATTGCGTCTAAAATGATGTTATATCTTTCTGGAATTCTCAGTTGTGGGGAGGAGGGTCAAGTTAGGTAACCTAGTCATATTGGCAGTGGAAGTCTCTAGTGATTTTAAGCTAACTTATGAATAAGTTAATTAAACAATTGGTCACTGAATTGTTTTAAATAATAAAACTGAATTTTACTTTAAGTCACTAAAAAAAAGGAAATTGTGATTTTTGGTACAGCGTTTATTTTTTTGTTAAGTTTTAAGAGTACCACCTAAGAATTTGAAAATAATCTGGAATGATTTTGGTCCAGGTCCAGATTCTACTCATTTTTTTGACTTTTTTCTTTATATATATATATTTTTTTTCACATGTATTTTCTCCAAATCTGAAGATATCAATCCACCTCAAAGCAAATTCTTCTTGTTATGACCTCATCCACCCCTGAGCAATTTTTATTCATTTATAGTCTCCACATAGCTTGCCTAATTACTAATGGGTGCATGCGTGGATTTTGTGTGTTACTGTATTCTGAAGAACAATGAACTCATTCCTTTGAGTTCTTTTTAGAATGATAATCACTTATTTTAAGTAAGACGCTGTACTTTGTTTCACACTTTTATTATTTTGAAAATATTTTGGATACCTACTAAGATATGTAATATCTGAAAAATCACATATTTAAAAAATATATGGTATATGGTTACTTACAAATAGTCCCTAAGGTAAAATGAGGTAGGAATAGTTTATTAATTATGAAAGGGAATCTAATAATTTATTTAGCAACTGTACTTTTAATCTGTGTGAGATTGTGTGTTAGGTGAGACTTTCAACCAACTTATCAAGGGGACCTTAATTAATTAATTTTCCTATTGGTCCTCTTGAATCACTTTATTAGTAGAGATCCAGAGGCATGCACTTAATACAGAAGGTCTGCTATATGTTTGCAGATGAAGAAGGCCAGGTAGGGCCCAATTGAATATGCAAGAAAACTTATGAGTCCAGAAGGAAAGGGTATTACTGAGATTGAATTTTATACCTAAATGATAGATAAGAAGCGAGGGAGGAAATAAGTGACTGGCCTTCCTAAGGACTTGGGAAACTTGAAAAAGAAAGGGTTGGATCACTGTGCCACTGTGTATATAGAAAAATTCCAGAAAATAATGGCTGGAGGCAGAGTAGGACCACGTGCTGGAAAAAAAGCCATAAATCTTGGCAATTGGAGGTTTGGTTTTGATACTGAGAATGACTAGGACCTGATTGCTTGGGAAATATTTTGAACTTCCCCATAGTAGGTTTTCTTTCAATGCCATCAATTGTCTATAGAATAGTTTTGGTGCCTTTTAACAGATTGAAATCTCTCCTTTTATGTTGCTGGTATACAAAATAGGCATTTCTGAACATTTTTTAAATGCTAGGATTGTCCCTAAGTGTTAAACCCCTTATTTACCTTGGTGGCAGGGGGAAAGAACTATTCAGCTGGCTCCTGTTTGTGTACCAGCTCATGTTTCGTATATTTTCCTTGGCCTTTTAGGCTGCACATGGTCCGTCTGATGCTGTTGGAAAGATTACTGCAGACCTTGCCTCAGTTACGAAATGTTGGAGGTGTCCGGGCCATCCCATACATGCAGGTATGCTTTAATCCACCTGGGTCTGTCACACTGTAGTTGGACCATCCTTAAGGATGTTCACATCTCTCTTCCAGAGGACCTGGAGGGCTTTGTTTGGGTCACAGAATTATGGAGTACAATTTTGAGCTATAAGTCACAGCTCTTCATTTTATAGATGAGAAGTCTAAAGGTCAGAAATTTTTTTTAAAGTGCCTAAATTCATTCAGCTAGTTACCGATGAACCAGGAGCAGAAGCCTGCTCTTGCAGATCTTAGTTTCTAGTGTCTCTCTGTATATATAGGTGAGTATTAGAGTGTCTTCCAATAGCTGTTCTTCTTCTTACTAGCTGCCTTCCTCATAGGCAAAATTGTTCTTTAATTCTTTGCTCAGTATACTGCCCTATCTCAGCTACTTTGGTTGGATGTAATATAGGTTAGTCAATTAATTTTACAAACTTCGTATAAAATTTTATGTGATGTCAAGCATGTCCTATTTTAAAATTTGTCCAAACCAGACACTACTTCTGCAAAAAGAAGAAAAAAAGAAAAGAAAAATCAGAGAAAATTTATTTTAATTAAAAAAAAAAAATCCCCAAAAAGAAACATATATCAAAATTTGACTCTTCTGACTCTGAACACTTAAGCTTTAGATACCCTAGAATTTAGAATCCAATGGATAACAGTTATGGTTGACAGGAAGTCAGAAAGATTGGGATTTCTTCTAAAACATCATGTTTAGAGTTATTGTTCTTTAGGAAATTGACTTTTGTGTTTTCTGTCTTTGACTTCTAGGTCATTCTGATGCTTACTACAGATCTGGATGGAGAAGATGAGAAAGACAAGGGGGCCCTGGACAACCTGCTCTCCCAGCTTATTGCTGAACTGGGCATGGATAAGAAGGTAACATTGGAGAATCAACTGTGAGAAGCAGGATCGGCTGAGATCCTTTCTCAGGTTCCCATTCCTCTCTCAGAGGAACTTCACCTAGTTTCAAGGGGTAACCATCCACTGAGGGTTCCAGTGAGGGCCTGCTTTGGCCCAGGTGTGTTTTTGGATCCTGGGCTTACCTGAGGAATAAGATGAAGTTCCTGCCCTCGTGGACCTTTTATAGCTTGATGAGGTGAAAACATCAAATTGGTTGTTTGTATCTTAATATGGCCTCCTAAGTGTATCAGACTCTAGGTACCCCAGGTATAGTCCCACAGCTTGTTTTGTCTGTGATTTAATCTGAGAAACATTGAGGGCTGATGGGCTTGAGGGAATCTTGTCCAGAGGATGCCTCAAGCTTAAAGTAAGTGTGGGCTTCTGGGCTTCTGCTTTTGCCGCAGGATGTCTCCAAGAAGAATGAGCGCAGTGCCCTGAATGAAGTCCATCTGGTAGTAATGAGACTCCTGAGTGTCTTCATGTCCCGTACCAAATCTGGATCCAAGTCTTCCATATGTGAGGTATTTTTGCTTTGAGTTTACGGGTTTGGGGAAAGGTAAGAGGATTGTCTGGTTGTTGCTAGGGTCAGGGCAGAGGTGATAGTTTTTAGAATAAAACCATTGTTGCCTGAGGGGAGTAAGATTCTAAGCTGTCACCTCTTGAAGAGCAGAAGAACTTCCACTTTTTCAGAATCCCTTCCAAGCCCCTGTATTTGCTAACAATCCCGCCAATGGAGGGGTTAAAGAGTTTGGAAGTTTTCTTATTGAAAAGCAGGAGCCTGTTCTGCAAGGCACAGAGTGGCTAAGAGGATTCCCCTAGTGTATGTTGCTATAAGGTATGGTAATAAAGCAGAAAGAAAGCGATGTGTGTGTGCTGAAAGGAGATTAGCACAAAGCAGAGAAGGTAGAAATTGAGGCTGAACTGCATCCAATCTTAATGAGCTTAGGAGCTGTGGGGTTTGCTGGGATTTGTAAGCCTCTCCTAATGGTCTTATTTACAGTAGCTTTTCTCCTACTTTTTTATGCATGTGATCATTCACCCTCATCTTCTTTGGAAGGTGGTTCTATGGAAGAGCCTCTACTGGGGGGTGGGGTTGTTAAGAAGTGCCTATAGTGGAAAGTTCTCTCTTTCCTTCTTGAAATGGGCTGCTTTTCTAGTTGCCCAAGGAAAAAGAAAGCCCATCCCCTCCTAGGGGAAAAGTTATCTAATCCTTGCCTCTCTGGCTTCTGGCACATGTGTGTAGTAAGGTTAGAGTTGAGAAAAGTATTTGTTTCTTTTACGATGCAGTTGTTCAAAAAAGTTTTGAACAGCTTTTTGAACAAGTTCACAAACATTTGAACTAGCTGGGAGACTTTCAATGAAGAGACTGATTCATTCACTCCCATAATAGCTGAGACTATTGTGAATGTGGATTTCACACTGTTTTTATAAGGCATTCTTATCATTTTTGTGTTTTTTTTCTCCCCCTTAGTCATCTTCCCTCATCTCCAGTGCCACAGCAGCAGCACTGCTGAGTTCTGGGGCTGTGGACTACTGCTTGCATGTGCTCAAGTCACTGCTGGAATATTGGAAGAGCCAACAGAATGACGAGGAACCCGTGGTGACTAGCCAATTGCTGAAACCACACACTACTTCATCCCCACCCGACATGAGCCCATTCTTTCTCCGCCAGTATGTGAAGGTGAGGTCTTTCCCTGGTCAAGAAATACTCTTGTCCCTTCTCCAAAGCATCTTCTCTTGACTCTGAGTAAAGCTGAAGGAGTTAAGGGTGAGGAGCTTCAGGAAGGAGCCAACGTACCTTGGGGGTTTAATCTCAGCATGCTGTGTTAGATGGCCACATCTGCCAACCTGCTGTGGGATTCCAGTTCCTGCCACTTTGTAAACCTGAGGAATTGACTGAAATCAGACAGTCATCTCATTTCACATTGAGCTTTGTAGAAAGAGATGAGAAGGTATAAGGTAACGGCATTGGTGGTGGCCCTCGTGTGTGTCAGGTATTCCCCCCAGCTACCCCATAAAGAGGCCCTTGAACGTGCCTGTTAAGAAGATGCACTTTTTGGTTGGATGAGTCTGGAAACAAGTCCTGTCTAGTGTTCTTCCTTAGCAGCCTTGAAGCACAAGGAAGTTCTGTCTAATTCTAGTAAGCCTTTATTTCTATACCTGGAAAACGAGGATGCGAATGGTGATTGCTTTATAGGGCTATTGCGAGCATGGAATGAGGTTGTCTGTAAAGGACATGGCACGGTGCCTAGCATGTACCAATGCTCAGTAAATGTTAGCTGTTATCACCCCTCCATTCCTCTTGAGACCATATAGTGCCAGATGGGTTGGACCAGATGTGCTTCTTACTGCCCACTCAGAATGGCTTTGGGTGGGGTGGGAATATGATAGGCATAAAACGTAAATCTGATTGTGTCCTGCTCGCTCGCTTGCTTGCTTGCTTTTTTTAAATAACTCTTTGGTGGTTTTCCATAACTTTTACGGCAAAAAGTTCTTTGAGGACCTAGCCACCCACTTGATTCTCTAGTTTTGCCACCTGCAACACCCTACTCAGCTTCTAACAGAGATGATATTGAAGCTTCCCATACCGAATCAGAATTAGTCTGTGCATTTCCCCAGATGTGGCACATTACCTTTGTATGTGCCGTCCCTTCTGGAATTCTTTCCTCTCCCTCTGCATCCCTTTCTTCTCTTATCTAGATAATTCCTAGACCTTCTTCAAGACACGGTGCAAACACTGAGTCCTAGGGACAACCTTCCCTCACACACACTACCCTATTACCAAACCTGATCAAGAGAGCCTTTCCCTGGGTTTCCACTCTGCACGCATTCACTTGTCTGTCTTCCCCTCCAAACAATCAGCAAAGGCCGTATGTTAGTCCTATTGACACTTCCGGTACTTGGTATAGAATCAGTAAATAACCAGGGATAGAATATAGGAGATACATTGTGCCTTCAAACTCATAGATTCTTCTTGTGGGACCACATAGCTTACAGGATAGCTGTTGTTTCCTTCGTCCTCGAACCTCTCAGTACCTCTGCCTCTTCATATGGTGTGAACCCAGGAATCTTAACTGAGCTTTGTGATCTTGGCCCCTTTGGTTTATTTAAATATTTCCTGTTATGATGGGAAGTTTTGGTTGTGGGGAATGGAATACGTCTCATAGAAGTCAGAAATCCTTACCCACTACCAATTTTTCAATTCTGGCACTGATTTTTCTGTAAGCAGAGTATAATCAACTCAGCATCAAAAACCACAGATTGAATGTTAGAACTTTTAGGAACAGGGAGATCCATCTTCACTGTAACCTTTCTATGTAATTAAGTTGCCCCCAGGAGCCTGAGGCCTTGTGGGTTTATAAATTAAACTGTTGGTCAGTGATGGCTCCAGCTTTGAACGGCACCCATTCCCAATTCCAGTATGTAGTAGGCCTAGTGAGCAGCAAGCCGGCCTTTTCCATAATTGGCATGGGAAAGTTGGCAATCATAAGTTTTCAAGCAAATATTCTTCTCTCAGGGTCATGCTGCTGATGTGTTTGAAGCCTATACTCAACTTCTAACAGAGATGGTCCTGAGACTTCCATACCAAATCAAAAAGATTGCTGACACCAACTCTCGAATCCCACCTCCTGTCTTTGATCATTCATGGTTTTACTTTCTCTCAGAGGTAAGTGAAGGTCCCAAGTGGTGCGCCAGTCAAGGTGAGGACACACCTGCAGTTAGTTGCCTTTGTGGGCCCTTTCTTCCTACTCCTCCTTCGGTATCTCCGCCTGCAAAGTTCCTCTCACCCTTCTAGGTCATGATCTTGCCCTTTTGGAATATACTATCTGCTGGAACTGTGGAAGATGTGAATCAAAGCGAGCCATTTGCTTTAGTTTCTGATTCTGTATATTTAACTTTCCTCACACGTGTGATAATGGGCAAGTTTAATAATTTAGGTTCTGTCAGGAAAACAGAAAGTATACTAGTTACCTTAATAGAGATTTCAGTATGGGGAATTGTTTAAACAGCTTTTGGAACCAAAAAGACAAAAAAACGTTGAGGTAACACAGATTAGTAACTACAAGAAGTAGCTGTCGGCCGCCCTATGTGTAAAGCGGAGAGGTCGGCAGAGTTGAGACATAGCTCTCTGAGGAGGGCATGCTCTGAGGGACGTGATGTGGTTGATTCTGAGGGTACTGAAAGAAGCTGGTGATTAGAACTGACTGTAGCTGCCAGGTTGCAGGCTGTTGCTGGGACTGCAGGCAGACAGAAAGAAGAAAGCCCTTCTTTCTTCTCCTGCCTCCAGTTACCTTCTCTGTTGGCAGAACCTGAGAGGGAGCCAGCTGTCAGACAGTGCAGTTCACGTAATTCTGGACTGGGTAGCATGGGGCAGACTATGGGGGCACGGGGTGGAGGATGAGAGACAATAGCTTAATAACCAGCACAGTAAGCAAGAGGTAGATCAAGTCAGGGAAGAATAATCTGTTAGCAGACCTCAAACGATTATTTCAAGTTATACAGTTGTAGCAACCCAACCTCTTTCCTAGCTCTTTACTCGAGAAAGATATTTGGAATAGTTATTTTCTTCATAACTTCCCTTTGCGGGGCTGTGGTGGCCAGCTTCCCTGTGGATCTCTGTAGGTCCCTAAGTACTCAAGGAAGAGGAGTGTGAATAGTGCTACTTTCCTCTTTCATTTCTTTCTTTTTCTACCTTTCTTTCTTCTGGCTCCTTTAAAGAATACTTAAGTTCAGCAGAGGCTGGCTCGGCCTACAGGAAATAGCTTGGTTTGTGTTTCTCACCATTTTTTAAATAACGGTTTATTAAAACCCGAGGTGTAAGAGCCATGGTTGGTACAAATTCAGTCACAGAGTGGTTTACTCTTTGTGTTGCTTGTCTCTCAAGTACCTGATGATCCAGCAGACTCCATTTGTGCGTCGCCAAGTCCGCAAACTTCTGCTCTTCATCTGTGGATCAAAGGAGAAATACCGCCAGCTCCGGGATTTGCACACCCTGGACTCCCATGTGCGTGGGATCAAGAAGCTGCTAGAAGAGCAGGGGATATTCCTCCGGGCAAGTGTGGTTACAGCCAGCTCAGGCTCCGCCTTGCAGTACGACACACTCATCAGCCTGGTACGAGGGCTGGGAGCTGGTGGGGCAGGGCGAGGGCATGTGGTGAGGCTCGTCCAAGTAGGTGCTGGGCTAGAACAGCATGGGGCTTGTAACTATTTAGAGAACGTCTCGGTTAGGGTTGAGACCAGGGTAAATCCATAACCCCTGGTGGAGTGCTGTGCCATGCATAGTTGGCTTTAGAGTGTAGGATTTCCCCTCAGCACTCCCGCCCCGCCTGGCAGCAGTTCCTCCACTGTGAGGTGGGGTGGCTTGAGCTTCTTACTAGTGCCATTTGCTCATACCACAGAGAGGACCAACTTATTTGTACACCGTTGGGTTTTTGCCCCTGAATACTAAATGGTGAAGGTTGGAGTATAAAAATGTATTACTGCCCAAAAAGAAATTGTTTGGACTTAGGGGAATTGAATATTTTGCATGTGAGCAATCTGGAAAGAACATATTTAATATTAATGACACCTAGCTTGTTCATGTAGTGTCCTTGCTATTGTGTTTGTAGCAAGAAAAGTAAACTGGACTGTAGTTTCTCAAGTCATGATCTACCTTTGCTGTCACCTTATTGAGTAAACTAAAGGTTCCCTGAAAACAAAGGGCCTTACACTGAGGGAGTAGAACAAAGGCAGGCTCAGTAAGAGCTGCAGCAGTGTGTGTACCTTGGTCCAAAGTTCACTGGACATCCCAGTGGGCACCTGCCTTGCACAGAAGGTCATGTTCAGATTGGAAACCATGACTATTGGAAATTATGACTATTCCTGGCAGCAGGTGGGGTGCTTGTTGGGCTCCTTGGTGGAATTACTCATTTCTTACGATCGGTTCCTGTTTCAGATGGAGCATCTGAAAGCCTGCGCAGAGATTGCTGCCCAGCGAACCATCAACTGGCAGAAATTCTGCATCAAAGACGACTGTAAGCAATGCTGCTCCTTTGGTTGCTGTCATTTATTCATTTATTCATTCATTCATTCCTTCAGGAACTATCTAGTGAGGCATATTATGTACTAAGCACTGAACTGGATCCTGGGGGGCTGGGGAACCGGTGGCCTCAAGGCTACATGTGGCCCTTCATATCCCCAAGTACAACCCCTCGACCAAATCCAATCCTTTATTAAAAGGATTTGTTCTGTAAAATTTGGATTCAGTCAAAAGGCCACATTCAAGGATCTACAAGGCTACATGTGGCCCCAAGGCCAGAGGTTTCCCCACCTCAAATAGCAAAGAAGACAAGTAAAAATTTTGAAGAATAATGAAGGCTGATAGTTAAAATTTGGGGTGCCATGGGAGCACAAAGTAGAGGAGCCTGTGACCTCTAGATTGTGGTAGTAAAGCTCAAGAGGAGTGCTGGCATCTGGAGAATCCCTTATTCAGAGGAGCAGGGGCTGGATCCAGTCTGTTTGTAGTTGTTATAATGCTTTTCAGAGATTTCCACAGAGGCTGTAACTCCTCTGCAACGTCCAGCAGAGAAAACTTGGACAAGAAAGCTGGTGGGAGTAGGGCGGTCTCAGCTGTATGGAGAAGTTGCTCCTGGTCTTGTGTGTAAGTCTAGTTGGTGTCATCTTGGTGCTGAGCTGTGTCTCCTCTGCTTACAGCCGTCCTGTACTTCCTCCTCCAAGTCAGTTTCCTCGTGGACGAGGGCGTGTCCCCAGTACTGCTGCAGCTGCTGTCCTGCGCCCTGTGCGGCAGCAAGGTGCTTGCTGCGCTGGCGGCTTCTGCGGGATCCTCCAGTGCTGCTTCCTCGGCCCCCGTGGCTGCCAGTTCCGGACAAGCCACCACACAGTCCAAGTCGTCCACTAAAAAGAGCAAGAAAGAGGAAAAGGAAAAGGAGAAAGATGGTGAGGGTCATCCTCTTGTCTTGGTAACCATGGTGATGTGTTTAGATTTCTCTTGGAGCATATGGTTTATTCTGTTCTTCTGAAAGGTCTTTATCTTGGTTTACAGGGGACCTAAAACCCAAATGGTCTCTAGTGTCTACTTTTTGTCTCATTTTCAGTTATATTGAAGTGACACCTTAAATAATGTGAGTTCTCATACCAAGTGGCAATAATAGGAAAGGTCAAAGTGCATTGAACATTGTTATTGTTAGTAGGCCACGTTTTTTATTCTGTGAAATAATAACACCTACCCTGTGGAGTGCTTGTCAGAGTTAGGTAAACAGGTAAATACTCTACAAATGTTAGCTCTCTTAGCTGACCCCACCATCAGCTTCATTGCTTTATATGTCCCTTGGAGACCTGAGGCAGGTGATCAGGGTGAGAGCAATGGCGGCAGTTCACATTCCTCCAGTGAATGCTCTGATATCTCTGTGTAGGCCTAAGTAGTATTGACAGTTGGAGATAGCAAACTTGTGAAAGGCAATTCCTTCTCCAGTATAACTATGTTTGTTCAGTGCCAGGCTTATGTAAGCACTTTATCCTGTGCTTTTTTTGGTGACATTATTGTACATCTCATTTGGAAGGCAGCTATGCTCACCACTATACTATCAATGCTGCACGTGTGTCTTGTTTAGGCTGACCTGTTTGTCCCCCAGTAAACAACTGAAAATTGTTTTGCAAAATATAACCATTTAAGTAGAAACTTTTAGAAATGGATAGAATTGCCTCCCTCTCCATCTGGTAGCCTAGGCCTTGGGACACTGGAGGACTTCTTCCTACTCCTCAGCCCTCAGTCCTGCCCTGATCTTGCAGGTGAGAGCTCAGGCAGCCAGGAGGACCAGCTGTGCACAGCTCTGGTGAACCAGCTGAACAAATTTGCTGATAAGGAAACCCTGATCCAGTTTCTGCGGTGCTTCCTGTTAGAGTCCAATTCTTCCTCAGTGCGCTGGCAGGCTCACTGCCTCACACTGCACATCTACAGGTAGGGCCAGGGCTTGGTTTGGCAGATCTACATGGGTCTGGGACCAGGGTGCATGGCATAGTTCTCTTTTGGTTTTGTGTTACATACTCATGGTGTCAGTGTTTACACCAGCCTGAATCCTCTTGAGTATGAGAGATTCTTCATTGCTCCAGCTGCTATTTAGCCATTAAACTGATGTCATAGGCAAGAGACGATCTGTCTTCCAGAAGGCTATGGTTAGGAGCTTGTAAAATGACCAGGCTTGACTCTAGGTTAAAAAAGCTCAGTTTCTACTCTAGGGTAATGAGTGATGGGAACAGACTACCTCCTGAAGATACCGAATGACTATACTACATCTCTCTGGATTGATTGTCAGAGGAGCAACAAAACCATTCAAACTTAACCCATAGTTGTAGGGAAATAGATGCATCTACAAAAGCAATATCTAGGTCTTGATGATAAATAAAGGAGCTTCAGGATTCTCTGCTGCTTGGTAATGTGAGCTGTCTTATCTATAGAAACTCCAGCAAATCCCAACAGGAGCTCCTGCTAGATCTGATGTGGTCCATATGGCCAGAACTCCCGGCCTACGGTCGTAAGGCTGCCCAGTTTGTGGACCTACTAGGATATTTCTCCTTGAAAACTCCACAAACGGAGAAGAAGGTAACAATTGATATATGGTCAGAGAAGCTAACTTGCCATATTTAACCTTTTTTCTCATGAGTTAAGAGCATTGTGACCAACCTAGATACTGGTTCATATATGAAATCTCTTTTAAATATGTCTAGTTTTACATTTCTTAGTAAGCACAATTACAATCTGAATTGTACTTGTTTGCTAGTATTTATTATCTAGATATTTATAGATCATAAAAGTAGGTCAAACAGGGAAGAAGATGCAACTTCTTGAGTTCCATTGGAAAAGAAAGTGCTCCTGGTTTTACTGGTAGCCCTGATTATACACCAGAAAATATTTCTGCAATTGATGGCTCATGCCTATAATCCCAGCCACTTGGGAGGCTGAGGTGGGATAATAACTTGAGGCTAGAAGTTCAAGACCAGCCTGGGCGATATAGCAGGACCCCATCTTGAAAACATGGAAAAAAATTTAGACAGTCATGGTGGCACACACCTGTAATCCTACCTACTTGGAAGGCTGAGGTGGGAGGATTGTTTAAGCCCAGGAGTTCAAGGCTGCAGTGAGCTATGATTGTGCCACTGTACTCTGGCTTGGGCAATAGAGCGAGACCCTGTCTCTAACAAAAAGAAGAAAATGTTTCTGCAATTAAATAACCATTTCATGGCTTCTCCATAATAATAAAAAATGGTTTTCCTCCACAAGGTCTGAAAAGGGTACCTATCACTAAGATTGTGAAAAATTCTAAAGGAGATAGAATCTGTTAAATGATTAGGAATTGGGCCCAGCTTTGTATAATTCTGAATGGGGACTGAGAAGTCTGGTACTTCTAGAGCAGTCTTTAGCTAAAAAGCAGAAGACAAAAGTCTTTTCCATAAGACTTTCCCATGGGCTTTAACTATGTTTCTTTACTGAATTCTGTTTCAGTTGAAGGAGTATTCACAGAAGGCTGTGGAGATTCTGCGGACTCAAAACCATATTCTTACCAACCACCCCAACTCTAACATTTATAAGTGAGATTTATTTTGCTTTCTACCTATTGGAAGCTCAATCAATATTCTGTGTAGCTATTTGCACATTGGTAGGCTTTTACATATGAATTGATAAGCTCCTGGGAAAACAGTGAACTTGTCCAGTTGATCTTTGAATCCCTCCTGTGTAGCCCAAGGCCTTGCATATAGAAGGTACTCAAAATGTATAATTGCTGAAATTCAAACTTTGGTAGCAGTCACTATTAAGTCAATATTAAGTCATTAAATATGAAATGTCCAATTTTGAATCAAAAGCATAGTTTATTATATCTCAAACAAGAAGCAGTACAGTTAATCAAAGTATGTACCTAAACTAACAACACAGTTTTGCCATCTTAAGGGTAGCTATTTATGCCAGCAGCAAAGAAGCCTGAAGAGTGAGAGGTGATGGAATTGTGAAAGGTGTTTGATGAATTTGCAAAAGGCTGAGAAGGATCCGCTTCCACTACTGCTTTCAACTCATCATTATCCACCTTGGTCTCAGGTCACCCACGTGGCTCATTTTCAAGATTGAAATAGCCAGAACAGAACTTGTCAAACCGTTGACATACTATGCATTCATTAGCCACATCCTTCACAAATACTTGGTTGATATTTCTAGCTATCTGTGCTGCATTGGTTCCATGGTGGAACTCATACTCGAAAATAACATGTATTTTTGACTTACCCATGGTTTCACAAAAATTGCTTTAAAAAAATGTGAAAGATGGGCTGGGCATGGTGGCTCACGCCTGTAATCCTAGCACTCTGGGAGGCCGAGGTGGACTGATCATTTGAGCTCAGGAGTTCAAGACCAGTCTGAGCAAGAGCAAAACCCCGTCTCTACTAAAAAAATAGAAATTAGCTGGACAACTAAAAACATATATATATAAAATTAGCTGGGCATGGTGGTGCATGCCTATACTCCCAGCTACTTACTTGGGAGGCTGAGGCAGGAGGATTGCTTGAGCCCAGGAGTTTGAGGTTGCTGTGAGCTAGGCTGACGTCACGGCACTCTAGCCCGGGCATCAGAGTGAGACTCTATCTTTAAAAAAAAAATGTGAAAGATAATCACAAGCCAAAACATGTGTTTGCAAGACTGAGGATGTGCCTTCTCAATATTTCTCAATATACATAAAACAAGAAGTGTCAAAGTGAAATGTCAGAGATACCAGCTGTCAAATTTAGTACTTAAGGAAATTGGACATTTCATACTTAATAACCTAAACTAAAAATGTCTCTAGTTTCAAGGGTTTAAGTGTAAATAAAATAAAACAAGTTTACAGAGAATGTCTTCCTTAAAAAAATTTTTTTTAACGAGGACTAAATTGGTTAAATTGAGCTTATTATTTCCCTAGGTTAGTAGTGACTATTCTTTAAAAAAAAAACTTTATTGAGGTATAATTTATATACTATAAAATTTGCCTATTTTAAATGTGTAGTTCAGTGATTCTGAGTAAATTTAATTGTTTAACCCTTGATTCAAATTTTAATGCATTTTAGGATTTTGATGAAGGATAGTTTTAAGATAGGAAGCATCTAAGGTCAATTGGTTGAAATTTCCTTCCTGTGACTTCTAAACCCTTAGGATTTCTCCTATTTCCTTGTGTTCTCCCATAGTGGGGCTAGTTGGGGGGGATATTGAGCCATTCCTTTGTCATGGCTCCTTTGTGAAGCTCATGCTTCCTAAGATGAAAATTTCCTTATGCTAAGACTGGTTTCTTCCTTAGCACTTTGTCTGGCTTAGTGGAGTTTGATGGCTATTACCTGGAGAGTGATCCCTGCCTGGTGTGCAATAATCCAGAAGTGCCATTTTGTGTAAGTAGCATCTTTAACATGGGCAATTCTGAGATTTACAGTCCAGTGGGTTTCTTGTTTCTAAAGATGGGTTGTTGTCACACAGATGTTCCTCTTCTAATGTTTGGTCACCAATAGTAGGAATCCTTATCTGCCACATTTATTACCTTAAATAGAAGATTCCTCTTATGAATGAACAGTGGGCTACATTGATGAATCTCTAAGAAGGCAGGATGAGTCTTGAACTAATACCGTGTTTTGTGTACTCTTGTATTTAGTATATCAAGCTGTCTTCTATTAAAGTGGACACGCGATACACCACCACCCAGCAGGTTGTGAAGCTCATTGGCAGTCATACTATCAGCAAAGTGACAGTGAAAATTGGAGATCTGAAACGGACTAAGATGGTGCGGACTATCAACCTGTATTATAACAACCGAACTGTACAGGCCATCGTGGAGTTGAAAAACAAGTATGAGCTTTTCAGGCTCGGGGGGTGAGGGGCAGCAGGTTTGTAAAGCTCAACACCAGCTGCTGGTTTTGGTTCCATATCCCTAGAGGCCTAGTATGTCCTTTTACCTACTTCGTTTGTGGGCTGAGGGATGAAAGTGAAACCCCAGTGCCTAAGGATATTGACAAAGATTATTTTTAAATTAGTCCAGTAGAACCCTAGGGATCTATGGAGGCTCCACAATAGTCTGCCTAGGGAGGGGAAGCTGAGTTAGGGAACTGCCAGGCTTCTCATTCCCATTTTAACTAGAGCAGTTCTCTTCTTATACAGAACCTTCTATATTGGGAAATAGTTGTCATTACTTGGATGAAGGCAGCTATGCTCTTGCTCATAGAGCAGGAATCGTTACTCAGGAAACTTCTCTAGTACACATTCCTTCCATTTCTGCATGGCGCCTTCCCTCTTTGTCTGCTGATGTTGGATCTTCCATAGTCTGTATCCCCAGTGTCCAAATCAGGGTGTGTCTTATATTGGCCAAAAGAGGCACTAGCATGGGTTGTAGTATTGACTTTCACAGAGACAAATCTCTTTTTATTGAAGTTTCAGACATCGCTCTTAGACAGAGAATATAGGTAGATACTACTTGAGTATTAAAACTTTGCAGTGCTGTTCTGCACACAGAAGTATTGCTATTATTCCAAGAGACAGAATGAGGCTAGTATTCCATATCAACAAATGGCCAGGAGCTCTGCCTAAAAGATGTTTCCTCTTCTTCCTTTGAAAAGCAGAGGTGACCTGAAACATTGGTGACCTGAAAGTAGAAGCTGCCCATTAGGATGACCCATTCCTCTCTAGAGGAGGTGATTTGATTTTGTATTGTGTTGAGCAGCACAGTTGCTGGTAGACCATGTAGGTTCAGATCCCAGCTATACTACTTAGCTCTGTGATCTTGGAAAGGTTACTTAACCTCAATTTCCCTAACTGTAAAATAACACTCAGGGTGTTATTAAATGAGTTAGTATTTATAAAGTGCTAAGAACAGAGCTTAGCACATAGTAAGTACTCAGTAAACATTAGCTCTAATTGTATTAATAAAATCACCTCTAAATTGTTATATGGCTTTAACCTTATGACTTTACTTAGCACTTTGTCCAGACTTTGGTTATGTCCCTCTTGCCTCTCTAAAGCCAGCCTACCTTTATCCAAGGTTCGGTTATGATGGGACCTTGGTGGCAGTCATCGTTGTATCTCTTGGGATTACAGGCTTCATTGTGGCATGCTTTTGGAGTAATGTTTTCCTTTGATATGCATTTCTGTTGTTTTTTTTTTTTTTTTTTTTGAATCTCAAAAAGTATCATCTGTAACAACTTAAAGCGCTTGTATGTCTATCCTTTTTATAGAGAAAGTAGGGGAAAAATTTTTTTTTTAATTAGCATGCTATTATTTGATAGATTTTTTTTTTCCCTCTTAGCATAACCACTTAATTGCTTTAGAAAAATACATAGGACAGTCATTCTCTTCGCCTCATCAGACTGTCATCACAGAGAGTTAAATGAGAGGATCCTCAGGCCTTTTGTCTCTCTCTCTGATGCTGTCTCTCCTAGGCCAGCTCGCTGGCACAAAGCCAAGAAGGTTCAGCTGACCCCTGGGCAGACAGAGGTGAAGATTGACCTGCCATTGCCCATTGTGGCCTCCAACCTGATGATTGAGTTCGCAGACTTCTATGAAAACTACCAGGCCTCCACAGAGACCCTGCAGTGCCCACGCTGCAGTGCCTCAGTCCCTGCCAACCCAGGGGTCTGTGGCAACTGTGGAGAGAATGTGTATCAGTGTCACAAATGCAGGTAAGCTAATGGTCATTCTCCAGATCAGGGCTATGTATGTTCCTTGTATTTTTCTGTAGCAGTTTCAGTGTAGGCAATTTTAGTGACTGGTGCCCTTACGGTTTTTAGAGAATTATGAGTATGTAGAATGAGCTCAAGGGCAGAGAGGAAGGGGAAAGAGTATGTGAGTGTGTGTGTGCTTGCCCATCTTGTGGCAGGGGTATAGGGCTGGGAGGGAGGTCCTCATGTTTAGTTCTGGGTCTTCTTTTCTTTTTATTTAGTTACTTAAGTCACTGATTTGTTAATGTCCCTTCAGTAGTTCCTGCAGTAGTTTCCAGAATATAGATAGGGCACAATCCATCTCCTCAGAGTCACCCCCACCCCACCCACCCTCTGCTGCCACACTGACTCCAACACTTTGGTTCTTCAGATCCATCAATTATGATGAAAAGGATCCTTTTCTCTGCAATGCCTGTGGCTTCTGTAAATATGCTCGCTTTGACTTCATGCTCTATGCCAAGCCTTGCTGTGCAGTGGATCCCATTGAGAATGAGGAAGACCGGAAGAAGGT